GCTAGCGGAAGCGGGATGCCACGGCCTTGATGGTTCCGTGCGGTAGCTTGCCCATGCAGAGGCTGTCTTGGAGCACGGTTACTATTTCACGCTTGGCTTTTTCGCACAACTCCCGTTGCGTGCGTCGGGCCGAACTCATGGCGGGAAATTTAAAAGTGGTCACACGGCCCCCAGTTTATTATTTTTATCATGATTATTTAAATATATTCGGTGGTGGTTATGCCTTGTCGATTTTGAACTCCAAAATTTCGTTTTGGCGCTTCGCTGCCAATGGATGTCACCTCCAGTTTTCTAGTCTCTATTTTTTACTAGTACAGTTTTCAGTATCGAATTTGGACTAGAAATAAATTTTTGGGGGTCACTTGAACGCGAAATGGTGGCAGTATTGCAAAACAGAGGAAGTAGTTGTCAAAATATTACAGCCGATCCAATCGTTTCAAATATAGCGATATGCGACTTTTTCGATTTATTCTACAAGAAGGAACAAAACTCGAATGCGCAAGTAGTAAAAAAAATACGCTCAATATACATTGCGGTGCACTGTTGTCCAAATTGCAAATTCGCTCTCGTCGTGCTTGGCGAGATGGCGCAGGACGTCATCTCGATGCGGACAACTCAGCAAGGCATGGAATGCCTTCGCACAGCCCCAAAGCTCTCCAGTACATACGATGGCACTGCTGATCACGCCGTCCTATCGTGGTGCCGTGTACAAAAACGCAGCGTTGGGGTTGCTGGTGCTTGCTGTGATGGTCAGCATAAGGTGCTGGGTTGGTCGTCTCGATGTTCCTACGGATGACATTCGACGCGCGTTGGCATGAAGGAACTCTGCAGAGCTCCAAGTGCATATGCGATCAAACGTTTGCCGCGTTGTTGGTCGACAAGAGGACTACTGCATCCGTTGATGGCCGTTCAACAGGACGAGAACCAACAGTCTAGCGCATTGCTTGTGGCTTTGGCTGCAGTCATCGGGCACACAGCCTCCTCCACTCACTCTCTACCACCACGATGGATGCCGTGACGTTGAAATGGTTATCATTCCAATACGGCGGCATCAATGAGTCGCTGAATCTGAAACTGCTTGGCGAGAACAGGCCGCACGTCGTCGACGTGGAGCAACGATTCGAGAAACGGGAGCAACTTGAGCAATTCCGAGTCGGATTCGTCGCTGAACCAGCTTTCAATCGGCACTCCGTTCGTGACTTGGTACCCGAACGCATGCGGCGAGTTGTCGATCAAGAGGACGTGGGCGAGGTCTCGCCCGAGAACATTCAAATCCTTGAGGTAGTTGCCGTCCACGGGCAAGCAATTCTCTCGGTATAGCCGATGTCTGTGCAGATAGGCGGCCATGAGCAACACGCACAGCAATGCCGCACACAACGTACTGAATCAACTGGTGGTACGGGTCCAACAAGTCGAGCAATGTTTCCGCGTAGACGCGCTGCGACGCTGTGAACACTACAACTTCAAACCATTCTGACACTTGAGATAGGAACTCCATCATGAATGGTCGCCGCTTCACAGACACTATGTACTCGTGGCTATCGTACTCGATCTACTGACGGGAACGTGAGTCGACAGGTCCACGATAGCGGCCGTACAGGGAATTTCATGTCGGCTTGAGGAATGTCGTCAATGGTGCAGTGCACGAGAGTCTCATCTAAGTCGAGCACCTATGCCGATGTCGTTGTCAACGATGAATAAATCAAGCTATGATCTACCAAGCACAGCTTTGGCGCTGTCGAGTCTTTCGGAGGCAGCGCAATGGGACGAACGACGTCGTGTAGGTCGCTATACCGTGGCAACGTCTTCATGAAGTAGAATCTATTGTAGAGGTTGAAACTTGGCAGAAGGACGCAATGAGGCGTACGGGTTGAAATCGACTTCGACAACGGATTCGTCGTCTTTCAACGATGTCGGTGTCGCGGGGGCCTCTGCGTCGGGTTCGCTCGGGACGGCGCTATCCGGGACTGGCACAACCACTGTGGCAGTAGTTGATGACGTGGAAGGAATACTCGGGAGATGGGGGTGAAGTGTCTGCGTGATTCGGCCGTCGACTTTGAGTGCAGGGGAAAACAGATCCACTTCGTCGTCAGCGGTGCTGTGTTTGCCGGCAGTGGTTGTAGGGTGAATAGTGACTTTACTTTCATCCGTCTCCTCGTCCTCGACGTTCATATCGAGCCGCCTTGTCGTTATCTCTTCTTCAATCGGACATGGTGCAGTAAGTTCAGTTGACGCTGAGGCGTCCTCGGTTGCTGCAGGCTTTCCATCGGACGTCGCTTTGGATGTGCGTTGACGTTTCAGCGGTGTCGAAGCGATGGGAGAGCGGGGATCCGCGTAGAATCCGAGCTTCGACTTCTTGCTGCTTCGGTCCGCCGGCGCCGCGGCCGGTGGGCTCTCTGTTGTCGCCATGGATCAAAATGAGAGAGCATCATTCTGCACTCGTTTAAAAATACACCACCCAAGTGCTAGTCAAGAAAATCGAAATATTTTGACTGAATTTTTGCAAGATATTGATGAGTTTTTGAGCAATCTTAGCGAAGGTGGTCAATCCACTTGCAAATTTTCAAAACATTTTCAAAAATGAAGTCCAAAATACATTGAAAGCTATTTTGAATGTTCTTGATAATGTGAAACGCATGGTACACCGGATAGTGTATCCGGACTTTTTTTACCTTTCTCCGCTGGAGATGCGCTCGCTTGCGACGGCGACGGCAGCGCTGGCCTACGTCGCTCTTGCCAGCATCGCCATTGGATTTAGCGATGCTTCCTTCCATAAGAGCGTATGTCCGCCATACATGGATCTGCAGATCCATGACGAGTTCATTGTAACCTTTACCAAGTACGACAACCTGCGTAACCTCGAGTCGAGCCTCGACGTGCTCGTGGCATCGTATCCCGTGCCTCTGAGTTCATCGTCATCGTTGCACCGTCGTGCAATCAAGATCAACCATGACGTTCCGACCGACTTTGTTGTGTGGACCCTCTTTGACTGGTCGCCGCTCTCCGTGATCCACTGGCTCGGACTGCAGCCCGGGGTCAAATCGATCGTGAGGAATCGCCGCCTCCATTTGACTTCGTTAAACACCCAACCTGCGTCGCCGCAAGAGGACGGTACATGCTTTGCCCCAGCGAAGTCCCTTTGATTTATATATCCTCATAGACACAATGCCGACATCGGCGACGTGGAATTACATGGAGGCATGGGACATGGCTCAACTGCGCGCGCAGAACATCACAGGTATCGTGCTTGTACCCGAATGTCCATTCCGAAAGCGTCTTCCTTCGATCGCTCTGTCGTTTCGAGTGCATTTTTGCTGAGCAGACCATTCCCAAGGCGCCATTTTCATCGTGTTGTTCCAGGCCACGGTGTCAAGGTAGCCATTTTCGACACGGGGCTGGACCCAGACAGCGCACGGCGCCATTTCCGCCACGTCGACGACATCATCAACTGGACCGACGAGCCTGTGCTGCGCGACAGCGACGGTCATGGCAGTTTTGTCGCTGGTGTCGTCGGCAGTGTCCATCGCGCTTGCCCCGGTATCGCCCCCGACGCTTCGCTCGTCTCGTTTCGGGTCTTTACGACCTCGAGTGCATCGTATACGTCTTGGCTCCTCGACGCGCTCAACTACGCCATGTACCTTGGCGTGGATGTGCTCAACTTTAGCTTTGGCGGGCCAGATTTCCACGATGCGCCATTTATGGACAAAATCCACGAGTGCGCGGCGAGTGGCATTGTGGTCATGTCTGCTGTCGGGAACGGCGGCCCGCAGTACGGAACATTGACCAACCCAGCGGACCAAATCGATGTGTTTGGCATTGGCGGGCTCGGCTCGACTCCTTCCACGGTACGGTGCGCTGCAGAATGAAAGAACTGTGGCAATGGTTCGAGCGGTGCATTGTCCTCGCCGTGCGTGCTTGCACAGATTAGAAGCAACACGTGTGGCATATGGCGTTGTGAACTGAGTTGCGAGGGAGGTGCTCCATGAAAACGACATATCCCGATAGATCGCGCCGTTCTCTGCACGCGGTCAAAGCCTCTGGGAGATTGCGACGGGGTATGGTCGTGTGAAGCCAGATGCGGTGGCACCCGCCACGTTTGTCAAAGGCCTGTATCCTGGTGGAGACAAGTGCCGAATGATGAATGGAACGAGCATGGCTGCGCCGCTGGCGACTGGAATGGTGGCCCTCGTTCTGTCCCAAATACCATCGATCGAGCGCAAACGGTTCGGTCACGTCGGGTTCGTCAAGGGTGTCTTTCTCCAAACGGCCCGCCGGCTCCCGTCCATGTATGCAACGACAACTCGTTGCTCGCCTCATGCAGCGTAGATGGAATGCGACGATGCGGTCCACGGAGGCTGGCAATACGTGGCAGCACATTTACGAACAAGGGGCGGGCAGCCTCGACGTGAACGCAGCGTTGGCAGCGCTGCCTTTGGCCATGGTACACGACACTGCCATGAATTCCATTTGAATCGACGTGGTTGATTCCTTTGCGGCGGAATCCCCTAGGCGGCTCCAACAGCGGTGCTATTGCCATCGTCCCTCAATCTTACCGACTGCCCGTATATGTGGCCCCACTGTTTGCAGCCGTTGTACCACACGCGCCTTCCCCTGACCATCAATATCACGGTACAACCCATGACGTGAATTTTGCTCCATGTACTTGACGGATGCAGTTGCTGTGAATGTCTAGATGTTCCACCCGACGGCCTTGACTAGCCAGCTCGTGGGAGCGCCCAAATGGACCCCATCGTCAGCAGACAGCGACATCTTGTCCATCCAAACGTTTCCTGGCTCCGAGATGTTCTGGTGCGTCCGCCCTGCTGTGGTGGTTGTGGTTGGAATCTAGAACCTCAAACGCTTCCTGCTTGCCAAATCTTGTCGAGTGGCACCTTCAACTTCGTTTGCAGGCCGTATTCTGGCGCGATTGGCGTCCACATTCGCGTAACTCGGCCCGTGCTGCGCCGCATGACCGTGTCGGGGCGCTTGACGTTGTTCATCTCGGATTCGCCGCCGGTCGAGCTCTACATTGAAGTTCCGGTGATACCGGCGCCGCCGCCACGTCAACGGGTACGCCTCGTGCCCATCCATGTCGAGCCACTCGTCGACCTGCCAACGACAAACTAAGTTGGTCGGTCGCAGGTGTTGTGGGACCAGTACCGCAACCTCCAATACCCCTCTGGATACATTCCCCGCGACAACCTGCATCAACACACGGATCCGTTTGATACCCAAGGCGACCATGCGCACACCAACTTTGGCGATTTCTTTCACCGGCTCGTCGTTCAGCACAAGTTGTACGTGGAGGTGCTTACGACAGACTACTCGTGTGTGGACGACTTGTCTGTGTACGGGTTGCTGCTGGTTGTCGACCCCGAAGAGCCGTGGTTCCCGACCGAAGTCGCCCTCGTCCATGCGGCAATGCGATCGAGCGATTTGAGCGTGTTCGTCATTGCCGACTGGTACAGCCCCACCGTCCTGACCTCCATGTCGTTCTGGGACGCCAATACCCTGAGCACGTGGCTCCCAGTGACCGGCGGCGCCAATATCCCTGCAATCAACACGCTCTTGGCGGCGTTTCGCATTCGACTGAGCCACCGCGCGTGGTCCAACCCCGGCATCATGTACCTGTCGGGATCTGCCATCGTCGACCTCCCCGACCTCGGCTTTGTCATGTGGGCCAACCTTACCCAAGACTCGACTGGACCGACCGGCCTCTCTCCACGACGGATCGCGTCCTTTGAGTCGGTGAAGAGTGCCAACAACGCCGCCGTTCCACCAAACGACAGCCAAAAGATGGCCGTCGCCGCCTTGGTCCCACTCCAAGGCGCCAATGCTGGCCGCGTCGTCGTCTATGGCGACTCGTCCTGCGTGGATTCGTCCATCGCTGCATCGGTACTGTTTTTTATGTCTGCGTTTGGTATCGAGTAGCCTGTGGGTGATGGTGCGTTGTGTGGCTGACGGCGTTTTTGTAGTCGGATGCGAAAGCGACTTGCGAAGGGTGGATCGATGGCCTGATCGAGTACGCGCTTCGAGGAAAGCTTCCAGAGGGAGTCGAAGCAGTGAATAACCTGCACGTGCGCGAGGACGTCGACCATGACGCTGCAGACATCCGTGCGCAGACGCTCCTGGCCAAATATTCCAAGGTCCTAGGGCACGCCCCTGCTTGCCCCAATGTCGCCTTTGGCTAAACATGTCGATTGTGGATGCTGAAAGTCGATTCCATCCTCGCTCAGATCCAAAGAACCGACGTCGGGTAGCAGCGCCAAAAACGTTGTTGGCCAGAAAGCAAGCCAACATGACCCGTATTTATAAATTGCGCCCACAAGGAACACGCTTACAATTCGCCCAGGCGCGACGCATCCGTTTCAAATGCGAACTTGGCCTCGTCCCGCGCCGCCTCGAGTGGAGATTTCTTCTTTGGCTCGATCTTGATCTCTTGCTTTGTTTCCTTGGGCTTTCCAGGTGCAGGCACGTCGGCAGAGGTGGCAACGCTTTGCTTGGGCTCCTCCACCACCGCGCCATTTTCTACAAATTCCTTGGCGCGGGTCACAGCAGTACGGAATGCCTTGTTGCAAATCATGAGTGCGTTTTTCGGACGTGTCGTCCGCAAGTAGTCGCACGACTGCGACTGCAGCGATCCCAACACAGCATCTGCACTGCCCGTGTTGGAGCAATACTCCTCACACGCTCGCTGTCCACCTAGATGCATTACAGTCAAGAACGGACCATGAACGAAATGCATACCCTTGCGGTACGCATCGACGCAAAAGTTGTACAGTGTCGGGCGTGGAAGTTGGTCGCGATACGTAGTGCACAGGTCCTCTTCACCGTTTAGCGTATGCTGGTTGCATGTAGACAAGCACGATGCTGATGCTTGATGCACTAAGGCCGCCGCGATCGCTGGTCCAACGAGCTTCATCGGAAGTCGAGATGTGACTCCGGCGCCGGTTGGCCACAAACGGCGTAACCGCCGACGGTCGTTTTCATTCGAAGGTCATTATATTCTCGTCGATCTATCGATTTGTATACTGAAATAAATTTTGATATAAAAATTCCAAGGAAACGTTCGTTTCGAACAATACATGGTCCGTTTTATTGGATATGTTGACACAACTATTTTGACTGTCTGCTGCATTCCTTGCTCAGGTTGTCAAGGGCGATGGCAACACACCATCTTGATCTTGATAGTGCCATCGTTCTGTCACTTATTTGAATCGTAGCACTTGTCCGTGCCCACATGACTTGCCGCGTCAGGACGAGCCATGGCAAGTCTTCGTCTTTCGCTGTTGCAAACGGTATATTTTGACCAATCTACCCCATATTAAAAAATTGGTGACTTGAAATCTTCGTGTACATACTGAGGGATAGTGTTCCGTCCATACAGGAGTGTTGCTTTATTTTAAACATTTAAAAATTCAACGATGCATCAGCACGGTGTTTTCCATGGCATGATGGAGCGGATGATGTACACGACAGGAGAGCACGAATGTGGATGACATGGTATGTTACAAGGAATATCCGATGGATTCTCCCACGAACGCGCCGACGAACGTACCCTTGCCAGGAGACACGAGCGTACCGAGCGCCCCGCCAACAGTTGTGCCGATCACTGCTTGGAGGAACTTGCGGGCAGCAAGGAGAAGCCGTGTGAGGAACACACTTGTGTCATCGGGTTTCTTGGAGCCGAGGTTGAAGAAGGTTTTGATGGCATCGACGATCTCTTCGACCACGAACACCGCCGCGTTCGACAGAATGGACGCTCGGAACGCTGTCTTGGAGATGCGGATTGCCGCAAGGGATGTGCTGTTCCAACGAGCATACTTGCGGACTGCCGACTAAGCCGGCTTGTCGTGAGAAAGAATCGATGGTCTCCATGGAGTATAAAGGTTGAAATGTACCTTGGTCGTGTCCTTCATGAGCTTTCCTGCAGTGCGAACGTCCAAGAAATGCAACGACAGCACTTCGAGGGACCGTTGCACAGTCGTATTGCTCACCATTCGCACGAACGTGTGTTCGACTTTGATAGCGAACTCGTACGGCGTGGGCGGGATAAAGACCGGTTTGTCCTCTTTTGCCGGCTTGGCGAGAAGCTCGTCGTCGTCCGAGTTGGTGTCGTCATCGTCCAAGTCCAGCGACTCGACATACGCGTTGAATACAAGCGCACCCTGTAGCAGCGTCGACTTGAACGCGGATAAGAGGAGTGCCTGCGCATGGAAGTGCGCCATGAACGCCTTTTGATCGGCCAAGTAGTTCTTCTTGATCAATCCCGACGACGACGACATGATGGTGGAATCGGCGAGACGGCGGCGTCCAGTTGAGCTTGTGACCACCCTACGTTATCCGGATTTTTCAACCACAAAAGTAGATTTTTTATTGAAAAAGTAGAAACCTTGCCCCATCCATTCGTTCGATGTGCCAACCCACGCTGCACTTGCCCACAACGAAGCGCGCTGGGTCACAAGTCATTCACCTCGGCGACCAATGCGGCGACGCATTCTGCGCAAAATACGTTCTCGAGAGTCCAGTGCCCCTGGATCTCAATCTCCACAACAAGTTTTCTGGATTCAGTGTTGGATTTCAGAGTGTCAACCAGCCGAGCTTGATGCGAGACACAAACCTGCACTTACTTCTTCATCCATAGCGGCGCGTCGAACTCAAATGTCTGTTCTGTCAGTGAAGCACAAACATCTCATGCTTTTTCGAGCATTTCTTCCATTGCTCTATGATCATGCCACACAGCCCAAAACATGTTACGCTACGATTTAATAATGGCCATCATGACCTCAGCCTCAAACGCACAGGCTTTGGAGTGTGACACAACAGGTTCGTACCAAACGCGAAAGGAAGATTCCGTGCGTGGGTCACCATGCTACAGAGGAAAATGCCGCTCAAGTGGAGTGTTATCTGGTGGCTGGATTTATCGATGTTACTCGCGACATCGCCTTGGCAAACGATCGCTGCATGAAGCCACACCGGTCGGAATCTAGAGCTGAGTGCGGTCAACCTTAAAGTGGCAGGAATTCGGTAAATTATACATTTCGATATTCAATCATTTAATCGAAATTATCCGGAAATCCTTCGTTTCCTGCCTTCCATTCAATCCAGTGGCGGGCGGCATCGACCTCACATCGGCATTCCTCAAATCCACCGCATCATGGTGCACTTCTTTGGCGTGCATGTTACCGACGCGAAAGCTGTGACCGTGACGGTACCCGACGGCTTTGTCTTGAACGTCGTGCATGCCGCTCTCGCGAGTGGCGACAATGCAGTGTTGTGTGTCGAAACGACGACTCTCGACGAATCCCTGGTCAAAGTCGTTTTGGGCTCGCTCCGTGCTCAAACGTGCGATCAGATCAAATTGGACTTGGTCCTTGGTGCCCGCAAAGCGAAGTTCTCCGTCAAGGGACATAGTGCGGTCCATTTGTCGGGGTATTATCAACCGGGCCCGCCTGAAGAATCCAGCGACGACGACGACATTTCGCGTCTGTCTGTCGACGATTTGTCCGCGTTGATCCAGCAAGCCGCCGCCCGGATCTCCAAGCACAATGCCGATGAACTGGAAGGCAGCGATGACGACGAGACTTCCCCTACTGTCGTCGCTCCCGTGAAGACGACATCTGCTATCGCTGTCTCCAAGAAGCGTCCTCGCCCCGACAGCGCATCCACGTCGTCGTCGTCACAGGTATGCCCAGCTTCTTCGAAAGCTACGTATGTGTGTATGCATGTCGTCCCATTTGTCAATTATTCCTTTCGACGCTGCCTCCAAGGCAGCATTCCGTTCGATTGGAATCCAGACCATTTGGGAAAGGAAATGGGTAACGCCATCACAGGTTTTCTGTGCAGTTGCCGCGCATGGTCCTTAAGGCTGGTTTCGGCTCCCTCTTCGGAGCAAAAGGCGATTGACGCCTTCCCCATCGAATTCATACGAGTCATAACTGTGCAACATCCGCTGCATGTCGTACATGTCGAACGTGTTCCGTCGAGTGCTCGGCTGGTTTTGAGCGGAATCTCATCGTGTTGTGTCCCTGTAGACCTCGAAAAAACCCACACTCGACCAAGGCAGCGACGATGACGACGCGCCGCCGTCTGGAACCCCCAAGAACTTGATTGCTCCATTGCACAAGCACGATGGCCACGCAGCCCCCAACACTGCACAAAAGAAGAAAAACAAAAAGAAGAAGCGAAAACATAAACATGGAGGCGCACCGGACGGCCAGCTCAACATCCCATAGCTCGTTCCGTCGCGACTGCTGTGCGGTGGTGTACAATAAACTTGGATGGCCAAGGTGTGGTGAAAATGCCGGCAGGATATGCACGCATGCCCCGTGGAATGCATGGATCCAAGTAGCAGTCCCTTCGTCTATCCTGGAGAGGGAAAAAGCGCGTCGGGAGGCTAGCATGACCTTCAACGGCATGGCCAGTATGATTATTGCCACTCATCACAAAAGTGTGGCATGTACCGTCGGCTCTACGATGTTTAATCGCGTCGAGCAAGAAGATATCTCGGGCTGCGGCATCGCGCACATCCAGCTAAGGGTTGGTTCAAGTGAAACGAGAAGGAAAGAAGTTGCCATCACGCCAAGGAGGCCGCCAGTCCAATCTGTGGCTGGATGGAGAGATTGCGATCGACGGCAGATACTTTGCAAGTGGTCGACAGCGCAAAGGTCGAGACAGCGAGAACTGGCATGCCCTCGTGTCGGCCATGGACTCAAAGTTACGTGCATCGACCAGAGTTGGTTCGACTGAGGTCGAGAGCATAAGAGGACCTGCTAGAACGTTGGCAAGGACGTTTGGAAAACTCAAGTAGTAGTCCCGACATGGAACTTGGTGAGTTGAGTGAGGCCAAAAGCCGTTGGACAAACGACTTCGTGATGGGCATAAATTAATGGAATGGCCGAACGAGAACCCTCTGCACGAGCTCCCACTGGCGCTCGGACCTCGCACACGATTCGATTTTTGCCTTGACTGTGCGGCGAATTTCATCCACCAAATGCTGCTTGACGACGTCGCCAAGTATGCTTCGTTTACTTGCCAACGCTTCCACTGCCAGCATGTTGAGCGCCACCACGAGCACTTGGTCGTGGTCTGCACATGCCTGGGATGCGTCCGCATCCAGTGCTCGCGATGCTTGCGTGAACTTCCAAATGCGTTTTACAATTTCCCAAAGGACATCCACCGCTTTCGGGTGATGGAGATACCACGACTGCGACGGATATAGTGTCGAGATGGCCTGCATGAGCTGGAGCACAGCCATATGCACTGCCCAGCCTTGCGCCGACGCAGTGGGTTGAGTCGCGGCAAGCAATTGTGTCCACCACTTGCTCAAGTGCTACATGCCACAGAATGAGAGACGCATGATTCGGGTGGGGCTGTACCGATTGAAGGAGCGGCAGCAATTGGGGCTGTGCCGCCAAGTGGCTCAGGATATTGGCACCATCGACCACGACCATGACAGCGTTGCCAGGAAACGCGTGGTTGTCAAGTGGCAAAGATGAGCTGCTTCCATTCGTCCCAGAAGTGGAAACCTTTGAAAGAAATTCTGTCACGAGATTACAAAGCGGGGCCACAAGCGGCTGGAAAATCCAATCCACTTGGTCAGGCTTGGGAAGGTCATGCATCAATGGCACGTTGTCGCCACGAGATGAAGTTTGCGCTGGCGAGGGGGCTCCTAGACTGGCCATGCCGACGACGCACGACACCACACCTACGACGTTAAATCAAACAACGTCCGAAGTGTACACGTCATTGCCACGTACTGAAGATGCTCGTGTGCACCCGCATCGACATGTCGCTCCAAAATGAAGAACGGTCCGTCTTCGCCGCGAGGTCATCTAGCAATTTCCCTAGAGTGTGGAGAATGCTCCGAGGCAAATCTTGGGCTGCGAGCTCGCTCGAAAGACTGGCGCTATCGTCGACAACTTGTGCGTTTGTCAGAGTGGCAGTAATGCCAGGAGTCGGCCCAGAAATCCGGCACAATCGCTGGGTTGGATGTCTCGGTGGTCGAAACCGATTACGGAGGCGAACACTGCCTTGAATCAACGCGTAGAGCAAGTGAAGCGCACTGCAAACGATCGAAGGGTCCTGTTCCAGGAACATGCATATTAAAACACAAAGCCATTCCAGCAGACCTCCACCCTAGGTCATGTTACAACACACCGGAAGAGATATTCCGTCAAGCCCCATGATACAAATGATTACTCCACGATGAGTCAAAGAGCACTATTTCAGCGCAATCTTGCAATCGAGTGACGTACATAGTCAAGTTGCAAGTGCAGTAATAGTGGCCCCACCAGTGCCAAGGACGACTCTTGTCCGGCTAGCATGGATGCGACGGCTCTGGTCAGATGGAACGTGATGGCTTTGGAAGGTCGTGGCGACGAATTGGCAGGTTTTGATGCCAAAGGATGATTGCACGCGCCAGACGCGATAGCGGACGCTGGCGGCATCCATTGTGAAAACTGAGGTATGAGCTGACTCAAGTCCGTCGTGGTATTGAGGATCGATCGGTCTTCTGACACATCAAACTCTGGCACAACATTCGCTGGAACAGTACTTGACGAGACCGCCGGAGGGTGGAGCAGCGATGCCAAGTCGGACGACGATTGGAGTAACTTTCCTACGTAGCGCGTTGATGCTTGAGCAGAAGTAGAGCCGGCAATTCACAGAAACAATATCGTGATGGCCGTCGAGCCTTCACGCACACTCTTGCGCACTTGATGCGCCCCTTACTTTTCAATTCTTTTTGCAGTGGAAATGGCACAGAGAATTTCATTTCCAAGAGGCAAGAATTAATACGGTCAAGAGCGAATTTGAAGTGGCTTCAACGGGAAATCGAATGAAACGTGCTCCAACGCCAATAATCGCCAAGAAGAATTGCCAGAAAAAACCATAAACCACGAAAATGCACGGGCATGACGATGCAAAAGGCTGAGGAGGTGATGCTGCACCTACCGATCAAGTCGCTGTTTTCCACCGCCAATGGTACATACGGGTCGGTCTGGAACCCCTTTTCGGCACATCCAGACGCTCTAGAAGGCGTCGATGTATTCACCCGGGGTCGCTTGAGGGCTGTGGATGGAGGAGTGGGTTGTGAGAAGAGCTGCTGGGACATTTGGAACTTTTCTGCTTCAAGCTTCCGCTTGGACGTTTCCAATAGTCTCTTGCCAGCTTCCAGACGCTTTTGCTCCAGTTGGGCAGTAGTCTGAAACTACGATGCATACACCATCGATTCGTTATGAGGAAGGGTGTACGTGGAGCACGGTACCTGCTTGAGTTGGCTCTCCAGGGCTTGCCGCGCGCGCTCTGCTGTTTTCTTTTCCTCCTGGAGGAACGTAGTGTGCGAAACGAGGCGTTTGAGCTGATGCTGCATCGACAGCTCATTCTGTTCACACTTGAACGCAGCCTCGGCTTCGACAGCAACAACCTGGGCCGTCAAATCGAAGATTTGTTCACTGAATTGCTGGTTCTGTTCCTGCAACAAGTGCACCAACGAATCGCTCTGTCCCTTGTCCTGCCGAAGACGCGCGATTTCGTCGCGTAACTAGAACCGAAAAAGATGAGCTCGGATACTTGTGCAGCGCCTGGCCAAGCAGTGGGGGCGCTCCATACCTTCTGCAGTTCCGCTTGGACCTGCTGTGACACCGACATGCCGGCGCTGTTGATGCACCAACTTGTTTTTCGCTGCAAAACTGAAAACCTTTCAGAATCAATATAAAAAAGATAGAGACTCTATATCTCCACACGAGTTGAAGCATGATTGCGCAGCATGACAGCAGGCGTGCGCGTCGTTTCGGCCGAAACATAACTCCTCATCCAACGCGCGCATAAACACCGCCGCTCATACTTCTCTACTCGGCCTTGGGTGTGTTGGCGAGGAAATGTGCAGCAAAACACTTGAAGTGGCATGTCGCAGTGAGTCCAAGAGTTTAATCCTGGCAACTGCGAGCCTGCTGGTTAAGCAGCCATCCGATCTCATTTTCCATCATCCGTGGATGGGTCTTGGTCTGGTGAAAAAACAAACGTTCGCGGGGCGTGAAGGAGTCTGTGGAGGTTTTTGAACATGGTCATGGATGCTTCGATCCCAGCGAGTTCGAAACAATCTCCGTACAATTCAAACGAACTCTCTGCATTTACTGCGTCCTGGAGTTTAGAGTTTCAGACCATGATGCAATGTACGCCCGCCGTCGTTCAGCCAACGAATAAACTTGAATTGTATATTTTGCGAGCACGTCGTACACTCGACCGTGGTTTGGGGAGACAGCGAGTGCTGGAACTACAAATCGAGCACACTCCAGTGGCAACTCCAAGCACAAGGCATGGAACGGGGGCAGTCGATTTCCGTCAAGCGGCTCGTGTTGATATTGCCGTTGAATATCAGGAACAAATATTGTCGGGAATGGATGCTGCACCGAAACCAAGATGCTCCACGCAATGCGTCGCGACCCAGGCCAGGTAGATGATTTTGTAGGCATTTTATGGCGTGCGGTGCCTGGTAGTGCAAGAAAGAATACTCGTGATGAAGATATCCGAGCCACCACTTTTCATTACACGACCAGTGCAGTGAATTCATGAGCCCGCATAGTGTGGGCATCGAAGTTACAGATCGTCTCTCGACGATGCGGCGTCGTCTGCTTGTGTTTCTGCGGGCACAGCGACCACTTGATTGTCTCCAGCATTGGATGTGGCGCGGTGGACGAGGAGGACGTTGCCCTCTGCGTCTTTGAACGTCTGTGTAATGAAGTCCACGGTTAATCGATCCATTTAGCAAGATTCATTTCAACACCATGTTCAAGTTGAAGAAATACAATGCGAAATTCTGTCGTACCCATTCGTGGCCATCATACGTTTGAAAGTTCATTTTCGTGCGTGGTGGAAGGTGCGCCATAAACGTCGTCGACCAGTACAAGTCAACTGGAACGTCCAAATTGTTGGCAAAACCCATGCTAAACTTGTTCGCGTCCAGGCCATGTCGGCGTTTGTTCCACACCCACAAATTCGCGCCCCTAGGACACAATCACACCACGATCAGTCATTTCAACCATTCTGTTCAAAATTACGAGGAACATTGCAATGCTAGTTACAATAGTCAACACAACTCTCGGTCTTACCATTTCGTCCCCTCGAGAACAGGACACCCGCCGTGCTCTGACATCGGGTCCACCTCACCTGCAACGACATTACGTTCCTCCCAAAGTAGAATTCAATGCACCCCGCATGCCACATATGACCAAAATTGAACAGATCGATACATGAGGTAGCAAAAGCAGCGCATGGACTGAGAAATGCACATACCGTTGCCTTTCTGACTGTAAAACAAAACAGCGTGGGCTTTGCGAGGGTAGGACGCTAATCTATATGAGGAAACAATGTTGTCCAGAGTTTCGATACAATAAAAATCGAGTGGATGTCGAAGGGGCCAACGTACTTTGAGTAGCATTGCTTGACCATTTTATATTCCCACGACCCCTTTTCAAACAATTCCATTTCGTCGTCGGTCGGAGGTGTGGAATGGGCAACGCCAGGCGGCATATTGGCAAGCGGAAACACAGTTTGCCCACCCCGAGTCACGTTCGACAGGTACAAGAATACCGTGGCAAAGCTGAATCCATCCGCGTTAAATGTACTCATGTGATGGGGCACTTTCAAAACGTGCGTTTCCATGGACAATATCAAAAAATCAAACTGGAAAAAGAAAACTGAAAACATAAATCACGAAAGCGCATAGTGAATAAGTCAATACAACGTTTGGAAATGTATGAATACAACAACTCAACGGTTCTCAGCAAATCCTAGGGTCAGACATATATAGCGACATAAATAATCGCGTCATTACCGGTTGGATCCACCGCTTTTCGGATTCCAATTCCAGTCGCGAGTTGCACCTTCACTGAAGTAATCGTTGTGTGGGATGTACGCTTGTTTTTGCTTGTATCGGAGGAGTTGCAGCCCATCCGCCATATCCCCTTGGGTATCACAACATCAAACATGGTTTATCCTGCGCAGGCCACAAATCCAAACACTGGCAGAACAATGCAATTGACAAACATGCAAACAATCGGATAATGGTTTCTCTTGAAGTGTCAATGCGATACAATGCTGATGAAATTGTCGTACAACCATATCGATATAGATGAGTGGGCGGCAATACCTTGAAACTCGCCAATGCGCAACAAATCAAATGCCCGCTTGTTGATAGTGACAGCGATGGGAGACTCCGAGTCGAATGCATTTTCGCTAGTGCGAACCGACGAATGGCTACATGCACCCGGCATCAGTTGCGCCAAAGTACACGCACGTCCAGCCACGGTGAGAGAGAACTTGGATGGTACAAAATGGAAACTCACACTTTTTGTCCGCTTTGTCTGGGACCGACTCCGGAACGTTGGAGCTTGTTTAGTTCGTGATCGATGCTGAGGATGCGTTCAATCAACCCGTCGGCCTCTTCTTCGGTGAAAAAATCGTGGACGAGGAACACCCGCGGCGAGTCGTTGAAGGATTCGAGCGTAATGGGTTTCCCAGTCGGCGATTGCGTCGATTGAAGCGACACACGGTGTCCAAACTAGGCCAGAACATGGATACGCATCGACATAAACGAAGGATGACTGCACCTCTACAAAAGGCCAGACAAAGTGCAGCCCGCGACCCACGATGTATAGCCGGTCGTTCTCTTCAATGTCGTCAAAGGATGACACGAGCACACCCTTTCCTGTAAACACTCGATCACCAATCGTGTCGGTGGTCGTCTTGGTCTCGTCGAGGTAGAGCCCGTCGACCGGAACGAGGGTCGACAGGTACTGAGCCAATTCCAAGCCTGACGGGACGTGCGCCTCAGAGAGATCCACCGGAACGCCCCCGGTGGACTCTCCATTTCGGAATACAGTCACATGCACCGCAACTGCACTTATCATGGACGCAAGGGCCATGCACGCGGCTAACAACACCCCATGACGTACCATCGTCGTCGTCAAAGCGTTTGTGCGTCCTTTTTGCAGCTCACGCAATAGATAAAAAATCATTTAACACAACATCTGTGAACAGTACTTCGAAGTAGAATCCAATAATAGATGGTATTCATCTAACAGATGAATGTAATCCAGCATGCAATGTGGAGAATGAAAAAAAGTTGCGATTGTCTAGGTGCATCGCATTCACGTTGAGCACTTTGCCCAGGCGATTTGCGCAGGCGATATCAGCTGGACGTGTGTGCAAGGGTCGTTGGCGCGTTCGGGGCTGCGGACATGCGGCGTTGCCAGCTTCATCTCTGTATTTTGGCGGTCGCTCCAATCGTGTGCACGCCGCTTTAAAATGCGACATCCAACTGCCCAAGATGCGACAAGAATAGGAGGTTCACGACGGAATAATTGGAATCACACCACTCCACATGTAAGGTTACAGCTCGTCAACAGGATGTGGTCGAAGGGTAGGGGCAGGGACACCAGTCGCAACGATTCGCTGGGTGTCGGAGTCCGTTTCCTTGAGTTTCAATTCGCGGACGACGTTTCCACTCGCGGGATCTTTGAACGACTAAACACACATCGTGTCAGAGGGGACACTCGTTGTGTAACATCCAGGATGTGCTGTACCCATGCATGTCCAGCGTATGACGTGTAATAGATGGACTTGTGCGGCGCCAGGGTCGCCATGAGATTCGACTCCCAATACAAGTCGAGCGGAATGTCCATATCGTTTGCAAACGTTGTGCCAATGGGTCCACTTTCACCATTCAAGCGCTTTTTGTTCCACACCCACAAATTGGCACCCCTATGAGTTGCACAACCACGTGTAAGACTTTGCACAAGAACGAATGATCTTTCATCGTCATGGACGTGGTGACGAATAAGGCAAACGTACCATTTTGTGCCTTCCAAAACCGGGCAGCCTCCATGCTCCGCCATGGGGTCGAGTTCCGCTGCAACATAATATTCCATGTTAAAATTCACCCACACGGCAAATGGATCAATCTGGATGCGCTCACCATTTCCTTTTTGGCTGTAAAACAAGACTGCGTGGGCTTTTTGTGGATATGACGCCAGTCTACAGAGTTGGTTGAATCAGAGTGGCAGGACATACGGCAAACAAGGCGAAACATGACAACAAGTCAACTCACTTGGAGAAACACTGCTTTGTCATTTTCTGTTCCCATGAGCCTTGAGGAAAGATCGAGAGTTCTGCTTCTGACGGAGGTGGGGCATGCCCAACTCCTTCTGGCATGTTGGCACGGACAAATACCGTCTGGCCGCCCCGCGTTACGTTGGACAGGTACATGAACACCGTTGCAAATCTGTTCAAATGTGGTCAATTCCAATCCATGTCATCGTTTGCGTACCGATTGGAGCCGCCCGTTTTGGGATTAAAATTCCAGTCCGAGTCAACTTTCGACCCAATTTCAAAGTAGTCGTCGTGTGGAATGTACGCTTGTTTTTGCTGGTAGCGAAGCAATTGCAGGCCGTCCGCCATGGACACTACAACCCAATTCAATTCTTTAGGTCAGGTTTCAAAAGAGACATGTCGTTCGACCTCAACAAATACACACAGGCACGTCAAACCATCGCTAGCACTTCAGACTCAACCGAGTTTTCCTGCTCGTATGTACGAAGCAAAGAAAAGTCTCGCTGTTTCAAAACCACTCCAGGTCCACATGACTCGAGCCGAACGCTCGATACCGGGGTGCACGTGACTAAAGTACCTTTGTAATCACCAAGACGCAGCAAGTCAAATGACCGCTTGTTGAGAGAAATGGCTACGTTGGACGTCGAATCAAACGCGTTATCGCTGGTGCGCACAGAATTCACTCTAATACGGACAGCATGAGAGTAACGACTGGGGATATGCCGAGCAAAATCTTACTCCTTTGCGAGGATACGGGATCGTTTGAGCTTTTCCGCTTCGTCCGTGATGGACAGGGTCCGTTCGATGAGTTGATCAGCTTCCTCCGCCGAAAAGAAGTCGTGCAGCAGAAACACCCGGGGCGAATCGTTGAACGACTCGATGATAATCGGCTTTCCAGTCGGCGATTGTGTCGATTCCACAGCCACGCGATGACCGAACTATGCATTTGACAGTGTCAGGAAAATGACACGGACTCGACACATGGAGCATGAAAGCAGCCTCAGCTATTCATCCACGAGAACTGCATGTGGTCTGTCATCACGCAGTAATCACCGGGAGAAATGAATTCAAATGGATATGTCCCTCACACACATATCAGATACAATTGGTGGAAACTCACCTCAACGTATGGCCATACAAAATGAAAATCGGGGGGCACGAGGTACAGCTTGTCGTCGTCGTGGAGGTCGTCGTACGCGTGCACATGCACACCTTTTCCAGTCACGACACGGTCGGCAATGATCTTCCCTTGTTCCTTCCCATCTTCTGCTTGGACGATAATGCCGTCCACGTCAACAAAGTCGGACAGGTATGCTGCAAGCGCCTGACCCGATGGCACATGTTGTGGCAAAACTTCGACCGCAACGCCGCCCGTGGACTCGCCATTGCGGTACACCATCACGGACACTGCATGGACATAGCCGAAGGCGAGGATAGCGGACGATATAGTGCGAAGAAGCATCTTGGTAAATGGCCAAGGACCGGACGTCGCCACCGCGACAGAGAAAGCCCATCCTCATGCGGTTTCCGTGTCTTTGTTCGTTTCACGTTTGAAATGCATCCGGAAAACTGGCCTTTCTGCCAGATTTATCCGGACTACGTTTATCATTAGTTGGATTTATGATGGATGTTGTTCATCATATTTTTTAAAATTGTCCACCGCCCAGATCAAACAGGTCGATATGGAGAACGAGGGAGGGTTTTGGCGATAAGTATTTTGCACTTGACGCGACCGAAACTTGGTTTTGTTGCTGTTCCAAAACGTTTGGCTTGGGACCCGACACGGACATTGGCGCTGTGAGGTTTCACTAGGATGCATGTGATGAATTTAGGATAATCGGATGTTTTCAGGACCTGTTTAGGACATTTTGATCCGAATATTGATGTCGTAGGCGACAACGACAATTCCGTCGATCACGTTGGTAGACAATATGCTAAGTTATACCACGCGCAAGACCACACAACGTCAGGTAATTGAGTTGATGGCAATGGTGCGTACTACGACATGCTTTACATACTACCCAAAGGACGGTGTACGATGGCACGTCCATTTGGAAGTGCTGTTGACTTCATCTGATTTTAGACATTTTGGGTGAATAGTAATACTAATCGTATAGCGTGCAAAGCATGCCCACGATGACACCGGGATACGCCAAATACTACAGGTCCGACATAGCGGTGACGATTGGGCCCCCTGCGCGCGTACGATATGCAGCGCTGTGCTTCGATGGACGTAGCAGTGCTACTCCAAATTCCTAGACTCGTTAAAGATTAGTAATACTAAATGCATGTAAAAATAGGACGGACTATATTTAAAATGCATTTTAAATATCTGGGATGGCCGTTCCGCATGAATGCGTTTTTCTGCCCAGCAAACTCAGACGGCGACACCCCCTGCCACACCAACTGAGGCTCACCAGTGGAGATGTCGATGAGTTCTCCAACGTGCTTCCATCGGCGCGCCATTGTCGTGCTCTTGTGCATGGCGATGGCATGCCTAGGCGTGTCGAACGACACCAAAATCGTGACGGTGTTCAACAACGGTGAGTCTGTCGGCGGGATTCAAGTGCCCTTGACTTTCCGAGATGTACCCACGGGCAAACACCTCGCCGAGTACCTGTCGACGCTCCTGGACGTGGAAGGAATGTACACTGACGAGACGAAGACGTCATCGAAGGCAGTGGCCGATCGAGTATATACGTCCACGGGCAAGGCGGTCCACTCGTTCGACGATATCGTTCCCAACGATTCGCTGTACATTGTACCGACAGGGTTGCTGTTCGTGTGGCCATTCATTGAGGTGAGAAGGACCTCTTTCCATGACGATCGCCTTGACCCGTGATGTAGTTTGGCCACCGCGTCGCTTTGCAGTCGTCGCAATCGCCTACTGGAAAGCCCATCATCCTGGAATCCTTCAACGACTCGCCGCGGGTGTTCCTCATCCACGATTTCTTCACAGACAAAGAAGCCGATCGATTGATCGAACGCATTTCCGAGATCGATGATGATGCAAATAAGCTCAAGCGGTCCACGGTTGGCCACGACGACAAGGGAACGTACGTAATCCCATCTCGATGTGGTTTTCGTAATTCTTTTCCACCGCATGGCAAATGGAAATTTGTTGCTTCTTCATTCGTCATGGTTCCTCGCATCGTGTGCATCGATTGTCTGGATATCGTGCAATATTCCGTCGCTGCCTGGTTTGCATGGACGGGTACTCTGTTTTGCTCATGACGAACGACTCGACTAAACTTTTAAATTGCCGCCCTCGTTCGTGCATGTCGTTTGGGCATTGCTCGTATGGTGTGATTCAACGGCCGATTGAGCCATGTTGTCCTGTATCGCTATTCAAGATGCTATGCCATCGTCGTGACGGCGTAATGCAGTTGTTGACTGCATTGCTACCACCAAATGACTCACCATCGTCACGGGTGATCGTACGTCGTAGTCAGTCGTCGGTCCGCACAAGTGAGAACGCATTCGATTCCACGTCGCCGGAAGCGATTTCGCTCATGAAGAGGTCCTTTGATTTGCTCAACATTGGCGATTACCAAGGTACTCGACTACAACTCGATCCTTCGTCACGAACGTGACAAGCACCGTCGATGTTAAAAATTCCATGCTGATTTTGGATTTGGATAGAATCGATGGCGGACGGGCTCCAGTTGCTCCGATACAAGCAAAAGCAAGCGTACATACCACACAACGACTGGTTTGAACTGAACACAACACCTGACTTCAATTGGGAACCCAAAGCGGGCGGGACCAACCGGTACACGTTTGTGATTTTGTGTCGCCGATTGTGCGCTTGGAATCTGCATTTCATGGTGGATTGTTGGACAAGTCGGATACATCGTGCGTGCTGCTGCTGCTGCTGCGATTTTCCTGTAAAAATCGTGCGACTGCATGTGTTTGAACGGTGTCCGCACCACGTGATTACGATTTGATGTAGATTTGCCACGGTGTTCCTGTACCTGTCAAACGTGACCCGGGGAGGGCAAACGGTGTTTCCGCTGGCCAACATGCCGCCGGGGGTCACCCATGCCACGCCTCCGACCGACGAAGAAATGGAGTTGTTCGAAAAGGGGTCGTGGGAGTACAGAATGGTCAAGCAATGCTACTCAAAGTACGCTTGTTACAAACTCGGCGCCATCAACGATTCGTCATGTAGACTGGCGTCGTATCCCCGCAAGACAGCGTCCGTGTTGTTTTACCATCAAAAAGGGACTGGTACGTCGTTGTGTCGAGAATCAATTGTCCATTTCAGTGGCCCCCCTTGTGTGATAAAAATCGTTTACGCCTTTGGCAAATTCAAACTAGGCGACATGGATGTTCGTGCTGAACATGGTGGATGCCCCGTACTTGAAGGCACGAAATGGTAGCGTCTTACGCTGTAGCTCGTGCACACTTGAACGTGCATGTAGGGCAGCGAATTTGTGGGTATGGAACCGCGACCGCAACGGCCCGGAAGGGTCTGCCTTGACAGTCGACTTTGTCAACACTCGCGACCATCCTGTCGGATTATTTTGGTCCGATAGCCACATGACGGACCTCAAACCTGGACAAAAGATCAACTATAACTCGTTTGGCAAGCACACCTGGGTACGGACGAATCCAGCCGCTACGCGAGCATGGTAACAATGTTTTGACAGACATTTCGTGATGCCGACGGAAACGATTTGTACACGCACACGCTCAACTATAAGGATGGCCCTGTACAAGTCATCAAGATCCCACCGACCACGAACATCGACGAACTGTCCGCCCCTGCCGTGCCCGATGAGTTGTAGTGGGGTTGCTGCTTTACAACCATGTCTACATGGCTTCGATGGTTGCATGCTCCCCATTGCACAAGATCTACCTTTTTCAAAAACGTTGTATATGCACACGTGAAAAGTCTATCTGTCGAGGAGGCCGCGCGATGAATCCTCGGCAAGACGTAGGGCGTCGTACAATGACAGGATATAGCAAATCGTGCACGATCTTTGGTAATGTGCGCAGCCCAACTCTGGCATTCGCCGTCAGGTGCTGCCATCGACGCGACTGCTTGCTCTCAGTCGTCACCCGCATCAACGTCATCAAGAAATGCATTGTTGAGCGTAATGACGATCGATAGCTTAGTGTATTCTTATATTTAATCGAGCTACGATGGCCCGCTCTATCGCGCATTCAACTTGAGCTCAATATTGATCAAGAGCGCGTTCTTGGCTACGACTGACTCGGGTTGGTGCATTGTGTTCAAGTTGTTGACGAGGACGGCGAACTGCGTGAGGATCGGTCTCGCTTCCGTACAATAGCATGGCCAGTCCTTCACAATCGCTTCGATGTCGGGCAAGACGGTCGCGCTCCTTGCCACTGCATCTTGGACATGCGCGAGCTCATCTTGGCAGACCTGAACGACAAGCGCATTTGTCCGTGGCAGGCGAAGCAAGGTCAAGTGCGTGAGAAAGACACGTTTTGCAGCCCTGGGCATCGATGGCAGTGGTTGAGCGAATGCCCACTCCTCCATCGCTTGAGTAATTTGTTGTTGGAGCGAGGTCAACGACACACTTTGCAGCAAATATAACGCGTGCTCGGCATGCACGCGGCTATTCCAGTCAAAGTGCCGCACCATCCGCAAGGCTCTTTCCACCACAAGTTCCATTCCCACGTCGATTAACTTGCGGGCGGCGTTGGGTGGGTGGGTCCCATCTCCTGGATTCGAATCAAATGCGCGGACAGCATCCACCCAATCGAGGTCTTCCCACCGGTGAAGCCATGGACTGTACGATAGCAATTCTGCGCGAATGTACGGCACGATAAGTTGTTCCAGCGCGAGGGCGGCATACGTCGAATGAAAGGATGCGGCAGTGTGCGGCAGCGTTTTCCACTGCGTGAAGCGGTCGAGGACAGCGTCCAAGGTGGAAAAGTCGTCGTCGACGTCGGACCACAAGTTGGATTGAACTTGCCGTGGGTGTACGAACGGCTCAGGCGACTCCGACGTCCCTCGGTCCAACTCATCCACGGCTCGCACCTTGGCACGCAAGCAATGACACAACGTTGTAAGGAATTCCCACAGCCGCTGCATGTCGTCGAATGCGACGCCGCATGTGGTCAGCTCGGCTTCGAGCGAAGCAATTGAGGCGGTCAGCTGGTTCATCTCCACACTCGTGCGCTGCGCGTCGCGCGTACGCAGGTCCTTTTGGTCCAGGAGACTGGCATGCGTTGTTTGGAGCTTGGTGAGGAGCTGTCCGAGTGACTGAAACGATAATTGGGACGGTGTGCCATCGCTGGTCGACGAAAAGGCGTGGGAATGGCTGGGAGTGGGATGAATCCCCACACGGCGAAGCTGTTCCGCCTCCCATTGCATTTCGGCTGGGTCTTCTTCATCTATCGCAGCATCAGGAGTCGGGTCGGTGTCAAGGAATGCTTCTTCCGGCTCGACGCATCGAGGAGGACGGAACGCGTTGGAGTCATCCGTGGGAAGATGATATGCTTGACGATGTGATGAACGGGGCGACGAATTCAATGGAATAAAGGCTTCTTCGTCGTGTGTGGTGCTCGTAGTCGATGGATTGTCGACGACAGGAACCTCTTGTGGTGCAGCACCCTCGCGGGAAGGAGAGACTGGAGACGACTGTGCCGGAGCAGATGGGAAGGTTTTTTGCTGCGCTTTCAAAGCGTTCATGTTCTCGACAGAGTACATGTCGTGCGTAGGACTGTCCAATATGCTTTCGTCAACGGACATTCGAGGAATCTTGCCTTTCCTCACCCGAAACGCTGGACCATCGTCGTCATTGTCATCGTCGTGGAATGATGCAATGACGGATCGCCGCTTTGGATTGCTTGACGAAAAGTTGGCGGGCTTTCGCTGCTTCAGCTTGATGCGTGCTCGAATAGCATCGACACTCTCCTCTTCCTCATCCTTGTCGGAGCTCTCATCCACCCTCGTGCTGCTAGAGGTCGTCCTCACAAAGGGCGGTTGGGCTTGGTTGACTTCATCCTGGGCATCGTCTTCGTCCACTTGCCGTGACTTGGATGCCGCTGACGGCTTCTTTGTCGTGGCTTTGCGTGCTCGAAACATGGCAACCACACCAACTTTCTTGCACTAAAAAATTTGACTACCCATGTGAATATTCGCAAAAAAGCTTCAGTTTTTGAGCAAATGATACATATTTATCGTGTCAAAATATTGTACATTGACATGCAAAAATTCGACGCACATATATCAATATTTTGAATTTTTGAGTGGATTTTTCTACCGTACAGCAGGAAAATCCACTCTATAAATCAAAAGATTGGCATATGTGTCGTGAAATTTTTTGAATATCCTATTGGTTTTGATGCATACATGGCGGCGGTCGGATCTAGCATCGAGAGGCCACCCCACCAAACGAATCTGTCGTCGAAAGCGCAGTCGTAAACTTGGCACTGAAAGAAGTGGAGGCAGTAGAGGTTGTGTCGTCGCTGGCATTGTATGCCTTCAAGGTCCTCGACGAGTTGGCGCCTTCGCGTCGGATTTGGTTGAAAGCAGTGTGGGGTATGCCCCAGAGCCAACGTTGTATTGAAAATGCCAACATGGCGCCAATATCCCATCGTAGTGTGAGATGATCGTCTTCACCTTGACCGTAGACTAACCTCTTCTTCACACTCTGCGTGGACGAGCGCATCATCAGTGTTGTGGTCCAAGATACATGTTGGCGACGAGGGGCTCAGCCCTCCGAGTTGCCAGCTCAATCTCGAACGCAGACAGCGCGATGGGGCGACAGCGTTACTGCATTCAACGTCGCACGGTTCACGAAGGTGCATTTGCCAGACACAACGGCATTTGGTCTCGCGCCTCAAGCGACCAGTTTCACCCCAACAAGTGTGTGCAGCCTATTCTGCCGTAGTGCATCAAGATTGTCAGCGAAGAGGGCATGCACTAGGACTTATCGGGGACTTGCACCCCCGGATCAAGCATTCGGGATCGAGAGAGAGGGATTGAATCATGCCCCAACGGCGGCTCCTTGTCCTCGGGAAGCATTGCAAGGGCGCTGCGAGGCAAGGGCCGATCAAGTGTGTCCCTAGAACATCGAATGCCCCTTGGAACGATGTGCTCGGACTTGCAAACGAGCATTTATCTACCGAGCGAGTAGGCCAGGTTAATTATCATGTGCTACTCAGTACGCAATGGAATCTAGAGCGTCTATACCCGAGCATTCGACGAAAGGTCGCTGCACCTCCACTAGCCCGTGGTTTTGGAAGTATGGTGTCCGCCGTAGCCTAGTTCGGCTCTATGAGGCCAAGCTGGGACAACTGGTCCAGTCGGTTGGCAGGATAACCATCCTGTCGACTTCGAATGCGTAGGTTGAACGCAGTCATGCCTAGCTTCATGTTCCACAAGTCCTGGGGCCAGGTCGGGCTTTGGTCGGGCACGACAAATTTCCGCGGAATGCGGACATGGCCGTGCATGGTTTTGAACCATGCGAGCGCACGGAGGTTTCGATTCCACTGCACTTCTAGTGGGTTCCACACAAATCCCAACGCATCCAGCGCGTCACGGCGCTCGTTCGCGAGGTTGCAATGGCGGAGATGGTGGACAACACTGGCCAGTCGGGTGTTCCAGAGCTTGGGTGGCCACTTTGGGTCGTTGTCTGGGACGACAAATGCTTGAGGGACTTGGAGGTGGCCATAGATGCTTTTGTACGTTGCGAGGCCAGCGTAGTTGACCTGCCACTGGTCTTCAATCGCATCCCAGACAAATCCTATCGCGTCCAGCTCGTCGCGTTGGGCTTGCGAGAGGTGCTGCTGAGAGAGGCGGAAATCGAGCACGGCAGCACCAAGCTTTTTGCCCCACAAGTAGACTGGCCATGTGGAATCGTCAGGGGGAATTACAAAATCTTGACCCACGAGCACGTCGTGGTACGTGGCTCGGTAAATCGCAAGGGCTTCGAGTTTCAAGTTCCACTGGTGGTTTTGGTCGTTCCATACAAAGTGTATAGCGTCCAGCGCTTGCACAATGGATGGCTGTAAACGGCCCTCGTTGTACGCCCGTCGAAAGGTCGAAATGTCCACAACGCACTTGTGCAAGTGACGCGGCCACGAGGCAGTAGTGGGCACTTTGAATCGACTGGGAAGGTTCACAAACTTCGTGTGGGGCTGCTGGGCGCGCTGACATTCGACGACTTGCAGGATTTGTGTTTGTTTATCGAGCGAGATCGACGCAGGTGGGCTCGGACCAACGCCGCGCTCCACCAGCCTCCACACAAACCCCAAATCGTTCAGAGCATCGCGCTTCTGTGGTAGTAAAGTAGAGGCCGCGTTGCGCAAGTTGGACACTACCGTGCCTAGCTTTAAGCCCCACATCGCTCTCGGCCACTGCGCGTCCTGGTGCGGGACGATAAATGGAGTCGGAACAGTTAAGTGGCCGTGGATTGCCTTGTACGTCTTCAACGCGGACAGATTCGCATTCCAGTGCAGCTCTGGCGCGTCCCAAACGAACCCCACGTCGTTGAGCCATTGTTTCTTGTCTGACAAGAGTGACGCCTTGGACGTGCGGAGGTGGTGGACGACGGAACCGAGTTTCTTTGCCCACAGCTCCCTCGGCCACTGTACGTCGCCAGTTGGAACGTCGAAGTTGAAATGCACTAGCAAGTCGCCGTGGATTTCCTTGTATTTGGTCAGGGCGAATTGGGTCTGCTGCCACTGGTATTCGTCGTAGTCCCATACGAACCCGATCGCGTCCAGCCCAGCCACGATTTGCATGTCCAACCGACCTTCCCGCTTTTCTTTACGTAGTTCGGACACTGGGAATCGCGCACCGTGAAGTTCAATCGGGTACTTTTCGCTGAACGGGACGCGGAAGCGTGCCTTAATCGAGATTGTGCTTGGCCGTCCAGCCTCCTCGTGAACAGCTCGGACAACCTCGAGCAACTGGCGCTGCTTCTCAAGCGTATACAACGGCTTCCTCACCTTTGATTTGACTGGTGTCGCTGTAGTCGACACCATAGCACACAGCGGATCGAGCCACGGCATCCACACGACCGAGATCGGCCGTCGCGCACGCCGCCAGACGGCGGCACCGAACATGGACCAAACGAACCAATCCAAGTCAAAATGGTTTCAATGTTTTCGCGAAAAAGTGGAAAATCGTGAAAATATTTCGTGAAATACCAATTCGGGATGCACGACATGGTCGTTCGTTCGTATTGGGCACGCATGGCACAGTGGACACGTCAACCAAGCAAACCATCGCTCCGGGCACGTCATACGGCACTCGGTTGGTGGTTTTCCGACTGGGCACACTGCATGAGCGGCATGGCCATCATGCGTATGGAACCCTGCCTACTTGCATCCATGTGAACAGGACAGCTTGAACAGCACCGAAATGGAGGAGTTTAATCGTATCAGGGGCGAGTCGCAGGCCGGGGACAACTTGGGTAGTTGTAGGCTTGCCAGTGGTACGGGCTGGCGTCGGAAACTTCGCTATCGTTGGCGCAACGATCGTGTGTTGGGCGAGATTGTCGTTCATAATCGGACACAACTCCAAGCGCCGGTGGAATCTTCTAGCACGCAGCATCCACAGGCGCGACACACTTTCCGTTGGCATAGTTCTTCAATTAGGGGTGGCAGTACAACACGGCCTTGTCTCCTCGAAAAGAGCACTTGTTGCTGGCCGGGACGATGTCGTTGCCGCTGCAAATCTGCCCTTCGATTGAGTACGTGGCATCGCCAAGCACACTCACATCAAACGGGCGCGACGCGACGAGGGCAACGGAGGCGACAAGGATGACAAAAAGGCCGATGCGTGCATGGTCAAGCGAATTCAGGAATGACAACAAACCGATGACGCGAGATTCCCAACTCGTGAAAACTCGCCACTTGCGACAACACTGTGGCCCGTCAGAACGATCCAAACGCGCAATTGTAGATTGGAGTGGTGCAGCACCACAGTTTGGGATCGCACGACGGTGTATCACATGGAGAGGACCTGGAGCTAGGGGAGGCCACTTGGAGTCAGGGTCTTTCCAGGTCCAAACTCAGCACGCATCAGCTATATTGTTTTTCGAGGCATGCACACCGTGGAGACGCCGTCGGCAATTTGTGAACCGATACCAATACTCCGCCATCTCTTGAGGTGCGGCCAGCCACCGTGTCACCGTCCAAGATGATATTGTGCTAGAGTGCCAACTATAAACATCGCAGCCAGCGGTGAAAAGTTGAGGCGGACGCAGGACAAGCTCCACTCTTGTAGGCAAGTCTCGCCTTCTAGCCAAGGCTCCCCCCTGTGCTTCTTGCCAAGTCCTTGAAACATCACGTGGTAAAGAGGATTGCAACGTGCATGACAGGCGACTATAACCCTCACACGATGTCGGTAACGTATTTTTCGCAGCATCAGAGCCCTTCCTTGGAGGGTGCCACCGATGTGGAATTCGGGTGCAGTGGCTGGTTGTGCTCATATCAAGCACTCGTCGACAAGCCGCGCAAAATATCCCCATGGCCCGACATGAAAAGGTATCGAGCATCATGTTTGTGACGCCCGCTCGGGGGGAGATATCTCGATCGAGCAAGATTCATTCAATCATTCTGGGCTACCAAAGCAACAATGCCGAGAAGTTTCATAGTGAACGGCAGCCCTGCCGTTCTCTGTACACCGCGCGCTGTGCGACTGTAAGTCTTGTTGAAACTCACGGCGGCTCGAGGCCATACTCCTTGCAATCGGTCCCGTCGAAATCGCACGCGGCGTTGAAGCATCCCACGTCGCAGTTTCGATCGCCAACCATCGAGAATTGGCACGCGTGCGCGCATGCACTGGCAGCACAGATCGACGGTGGCGATGGGTACGTTTCATTGCAGTACGATGTGTGGCTGAGCTTCAGCTTGAGCAGTCGATCCAAGTCCAGTCCTTGGGGCAGGGAACCGATCGGGTTGAGAGACAGGTCCACGTCAATATCGGTTCGCAGCATCGTTGGGAGTTCGGTCAAGTCGTTGGCAGCCAAATTGAGGCTACGAAAGTTTGGCAGCGCGTTGAGTTGCGACTGCCATGCCACCGGCACATGTTGGATTCGGTTGTTGAACAGCGACAGCGAGTTCAGGTTGGCGAGGGAAGTAATCGCCATGGGTAGCTCTCGAAGGCTCGTGTTGATCAGTTGGAGCGATGCCAGGGGATGCCACAGACGGCTGATTTGAAGCGGTAACGATGCCAACGGCGTGGACTCGACGATAAGAATTCGCATGGTCGCGGGCAGCACTTTTTCCAAAATGGCCGGGATCGTCGAAAACGCACATTGCCGCAGGACGATGCTGGCTGTCGTTGGAGGCAGGGTCCCAGGCCAGGAATGCATTCTCGTGAACTGCAGGGTGATGGCAAAGAGCCCGGGCTGGCGAGCAAGCGATGTGTTCGAAATGCCGTTTGGGATGTCGCAGCGACTCACTTGCAGGATAAACAGCGCCGAGCCAATCGTGGCGGGGTCGAGAACGTCATCCACGTCAAGCGACGCGTTGTGCAACGTATGGCAATCCATGTGCAAGTACCTGCACTGGCACGATCGATCGAAAAGTGGAGTTGTCGACACGATGCAATACGGCGGGCACGCCTGGCGGAAAAGCATGCCCTGAATGCACAGCGCGCCAAGCACAACCCCCCACGCGGCGCACAGGACCACATACAGCCAAAGCATCCACGACGGCGCGTTTGGGGCATGTCGAGGGCGCGAACGACGGCCAGATGCTCTCGTCAACACGCCGTCTAGTCGACGAAGCGAAACCAACGTGCCCACGTCGATTGTGACTTTGACCAGAAACCCCACCGGCGACGACACAACCGCGATTCGCGAGAAGAGGAGGACATGCGTCGACCAGACAGGATCGCTTCCAAGGGTCGAGTCTACAATCAAGTACTGAAGCACGGGAAGCAACAACCCCAGCAGCGGTAGCAGGCATGTCAAACCAAAGCTAAAAACGCTGTTGCTCCAATTGAGCAAGAAGTGTTTCGCTGGCACATGGGACGGCGCCACCAAGAGCCAAGGCGACAGGATGCAGTGCACTGCGACGACAACCACATACACCACGACAAAGCTTCGAGCGACGACGTATTCTGCAACTTGGATCGCTTGGTAGCTCTGGCACACCAATTCAAACGTGGTGAACGCGACCGAGATGGCATCTTCCGACACGTGGGTGGCGTTTGCTAGCCGGTGCACCGCCTTGTCTCGCCACGTGCGGGACGGACGAAGCGATACATCAAAGGATTCGACTGAAATTGTCCTGACAACATGTCTGCGACGACAGCATGACCCGATAGCGTAACGCAGGTGCATCAGCGCCATCGTGGAGAACGCCATGGCGATCGCACGCGGGGCGAACGCGCGGGTCGCTGCCACATCGACGGACGACATGCTGAAAAGGACAAACGCCTGGACACCGAGATACATGGCACAAAGCACGTGCTTGAACACGGCAAACCATTGCACGAGTGTCTCGACTCGTATGGATGCACCGTCGACGAAAGAGTTGTGTTTCGCTGGCCCGACAGCAGCCATCGAAACAATGCACTGCCCGCGGCATTGTGTTGACCGAGGCTAAATTTACCACCTGCCTTGGCGTTTTATATCACAGCCGTATGGCAGTCGTTTTTGGACTGGCCTTGAGACTTGCGAAAACGACGCCGTGCTGCACGACAGGACGAAACGACGCAGCAAACAAAGGTGTCATGCGAAAGAGCGCTGTCATGGCACGGCGTATCTCGGATACCGTCTTGGTCGAGTCCTGGGACGAAGCTGAAGCCGGTCCAACTTGCAAGACATTTCACGGCAGGCGCCCCACCACGACGACCCGCCACACCGACAGATCGTCCAAGTGTTTTTGCATCCTAGAACACGTGATGTGCAAGTCAGTTTATGCCGCGGCGTGAGGCGAACGCGGCGCGACGTCGAGCGGTGGAAAAAGTGCTGCGATGGAATGGCGACATGCGTTCGATTCGCATCAACCTCGATTCCATCGCCACGGCGAACCCAACTCGCTTCTGCATTGCTTGAGAACCGGCACACCACGCGCAAAGGACACCATGCCATCGACGACCGGCACAAGCTTGCCGAGACGTTGTTCCTGGGCATCGGCGTCGGGGTCCAAGAAGGCAAAAATACATGCGTGTAATTTCTGGCGTTAGAGCTCTTCGTGTTCGGGCAATTGATCGTGAACTTCAAGCGGGACGGCCAAAAACTGAATGGGACCGTCTGCTTCCGTCAACACGTGCGTGGCCACGATGGCACCGTCGCTGTCGACGAGCGTCTACAAGATAAACGTTAGCGCCTCGATCCATGCCGCCAACTTTGCCGATCCAAACGAAAACGACATGACGCTCCCACGGCCGTTTGTTTTCCCCGGCGACTCGTCCATGCAGAAAACAACGTACAAACTCATCGCCGTCGTTCGCGTGTAGACTGATCTTGGACTGAGGCGGGAGGTGGGCATGCGCCGTGTCAAACCAGTAAATGTCCACCGGTTCGCTCTCAAAATGATTTCGAAACTCGATTTCGATCCCGCCTGGCACGTGGAACTCTTGCTCGTGGCCGTGCGACACGTCGACATATTGCTCAAACACAGCGTCGCTGTCCGCATTCTTGATTGTCTATACAGCCACAACACTCGTCAGGACGTCCGGGTGCGCGATTACGAGCACGAGCGCATGGATGGCATGTGGAACCGATACACGTAGCCACGAAGGCCAAGCATGGCTAAAGTACGTACAAGTAAGTCCCCGTGGAGACCATGGAAGCGTTGGGTTTCGTTGGCGTCGAGGTTGTAGATGTGCGTGTCAAACCAGTACACGTCGACCGGCGCGTCGAACTTGTTCCAGAACGTCACAACAATCGGAGTCTTGACATCGATGTCTCCGGTCGCGCCATCGACTGCGGCAGCGCTGGCTTCCTCCACAGACTCGGGGTGCGGCGCCACGAATGGCTGGCCTGGTGCTGCCACATATACGTGTTCTTGCTCGACGAGCTGATCATACGCCGTCACGGCGACGCCTGTCGCCTTGTACACGCGATCACCGTGGTAGCCTAGAGCAGCAATCGTCGAGAGATATGCGGCCAACGCTTGCCCGGTCTTGGCCTGGTCTGGTCCAACTTGGACAGTCATGCCTTGTATCTTGGACATGACAGTTGGGGTGGTCGTGTGGTCCCGTCCATTCGGAAACACCACAACCGAGATGCCAGACACAGCTCCCAAGAATCCGACCACGAGAGTGATCGCGAGCAAAGCGGCGGTGGCTGTGCGGCGGGTCCGAGGCATGGGATGGCGTTGGAGTTTTCAAATTGATGGCACTTGTCGGTGACGACAATTGTCGTGTGTGATTTGTCGGTCGATTTCGAATATCCTGTATACATAAATACGGACAAACTTGTCGCATCGTATATTTCCAACTGCAGGTTATTTTATCTCTTTATACCCTTTGTAAACAAATGTTGAAGAAAACAACCTGACGACAGTCTCGACATGTTGGCCACATTGCAAAACAACACGCCACCCTGCCATCGCTTGCTCGTCCATCGCATGGGGGCGTCAACCACCAAGGTAAAGAGATCTGCATGGAGCCACCTAGCCCAGCTACGGAGCGCGCCCAAATATGCGGCCGCCACCCTTTTTCGCGTGACGAGTCTCACGCTCCATCCGTCAGTGCATAAAGCTGACCGTCTCGATATAAATTACAAAGGTGGACGCAAGAAGCCCTGGTCAACGAACTCGGCCATGACCCCCGCTTTCGTCGCGAGCATGTGGCTTACGGCACGTTGGGGGCACGTGCCAAGGATGTGCCCCGCCGAAGATTCCACACTCCTGTGGGTCCATCTCGTCCATTGCAGGGGTGTTGGGGGGTTTTACCGTGGTTCCCAAAGTTGTCGTAGAAACTCACGTGCACGTTGAAGTCGAGACCGCCAGCCTTGGTAAACGCGTCGGTGGCCGAGTCGACAAACGTCGGAGGACCGCATACGTAAAGGTGTCGTGCGATCGGGTTTGGCACCATCGACACGAGTGGGAGCATGGCTTGAGGGGTGCCGCATTGGATCGAGCACTGACGCCACTGGCGGACGTCGACCAGACTGGTAGCCAGCGACAAGTCGGCCTCAGCGTCCTCGAGCGTATCTGCGCAGTGGATGAAAACAACGTGGCCGTTGTACTTTTGCCGCACGCTGTGGATGGCCTCGACCATCGCGATGAATGGCGCGATGCCGACGCCGTAGCTAACAAACAACACTTGAGTCGGAAGCTTGGGCACGTCGTCTACTTCAAAGTGGTGGTCGGATTCGACCCAGAAGAGCCGCAGCGACGAGCACCCGACCGTGGACGCGTCCTTGTGGTTGAACCATGCATGATGGGCACTTGTCGTCTCGTCCACGTAAATATCAAGTGTGTTGGATGCGCTGGCCCGGTACGAAGCAATGGGAAAGTATTGCTTGACGATGGAGCCGTTGCTAAAGTGGTTGTCGCTGGTGTCGTCGTTCGAAGCGACAACCGGCACGCCGAGGATGACGCCGTCACCTGGAAAGAACCGCAGCGGAAACGAATGCGTCAACGTGAGTCGTCGCATCCCGTGGTTCGCGCGGCGCCGCTGGCTGGGCAAGGCCGAGTGGCTGTCGGCGTACGTGTGAGGATGAAGCGACGTGTGGTTGTCCTGACCGTGCACGACCGCTGTGATCGTGACAACGAGGCTCTCGGCAACGTGGGCTGGCGGGTTTCGCACAATGACAGGGAGCATCAAGTACAAGATCAAGCAATACGCGGTCAAGTAGGCCTCCTTGACGTCGAAATTCCACTGGTCCCCACTCACGATCTCGAGCGTCTTCAAGAGCGTCACACCGACCGTCGTGTAGTCGCCGCGCTCGCAACCGTAGGCGAGGTGGCGCTCCGCCAGCGCTTGCATGCGCTCGATCAGGTCGTGGCTGCGCAAGATGCTTGTCATGGCGCGGAGGATGGAAAACAGCGTTTTTCCCTGCAAGTGCATGCTCGATCGGAAAATCGTGCGGCACGACGGCATCACGGCAAAGAGGAGGCTGTAGTACGTCCGATGGAAAAACTTGTCTGGGTTGCCATGGCGAAACTCGTCAAACGACGACGACATGCCGCTCAAGATGAGTGTCCAGTTGGCTTCGATCAGGCGGACGTGGCGCCGCGTGAGCACGGGCTGCTTGATCTCGAACGGCATGTACCGAACGTAGTGGTGGACAAATTCGTGCGTGAGGCCGACCGATCCATCGGATGTTGTAAACACGATCGACGACGGCGTCGGGTGGTTGGACGGGCGGTGCTCAAAGCTCGAGTGCGTGTGGCCCATGGTGACCGTCGGTCGGAAATGTTGTGAGCATCGCGATGTCCATGGCGAAAACTGACATGCGCGGCATAGAAGGGCCACACGTGGGCATTCCTTGAACAAGGTTAAACTACACGAACGACGACTGTATCACCCCGCCCAACTTGGCTGTGTGCATGGCGCACGATCCAAATGCACGCGGCAGTCCTCCAAGTTGTCGCGGCGCAGTGCCTCTTCGTAGCATGGCGTCCTGCCGCGAGCTGACGACGTTGTCCGCGCGGCGGGTGGATTAAAACGCGTTTTAGCTACCGACACGATGCTCGACACAAAGACATGATCGGTGTGCCTTGCGAGTTTGGGAAATTCGCTGCCGCGCCTTTATCGCAGCGACGTCCTGCGCACCGCATGTTGCCAACATGTCACGGTGAGCTGGCTCTTGGCCATGCATACCACTCTCTTCGCGATCGAAATGGATGGCTCGCAACGACTTCACCCTTCAAGGTGATTTCTAGACGGCGTTGGCATCGGTCGTCCTCGACGACACCTCACTGGACTCCATGCCCCGGCGCGTAATGCGGCGCGGATGGATGCACGCGTGTACCGCGCATGTCGCAACCACGAGGTTGGCCAAAAGGTTTTCAACGTCCATGGCCTGGAGACACAGCACGTCTCGGACGTGTCGCTCCACGTGACATGTGCGGAGCAGCGCGCTCGACGGGTGCCCACCCGTTCGCAGCATTGCGTCCAGGCAATGACCGCTCTTCGCCCGTTCGAGTGTGCCTCCCCCCTTTGTAGCCTCAACTCGAGTTTTCCTGCAAGTCTGATGTCCGCACACACGAAATGCATTGATACAGTGTTAGTTGCTCCAGTGTTGTCAAACTACGTGGCCAGTTCCTGCTTGAGCTTCGCGAGATCCAAGTGTCCGTCTTCGTTGCCGCACGGCCCACGCAAGAGCGCAATAACTTCATGAGGAACGAGTTTGAAATCTCGGAGCCAGCGGCGGACTTGCGCGTCGGTCAGCGCCTTCTCACCCGCCACGTCTTGCCATAGCGCCGATTGCCACGCGTTCTTGAGCTTCTTCAAGGCGCGGTCACGGTCGGCGTAAGGGAAATCGGCGGGATTTGATTCCATGTACTTGGCCGAGTACTCGTCCAGGTTGTCGAGGATGAAGGCCTGGCCGACGACTTCGATGCGCGCGCCGACGTAAAAGTCCGACTTGACAAACGGGGTGCCCCTGCAGGGATTCTTGTGGACACCTCGCTCCATAAACTTGCCTCCTACAACCCATTTTTACCACTGGTCGACACGATCTCGTACCGCCGATGCCGCTGTTTCGCTGGGGGGGTTCCATCACCATGATGGACAAGTCGCAAATCATAAAGCTCACGATAAAGCGTCGGTGGACGTCTTCCGGCTTGGTCGTGTCCATGTGGGCGCAGAATCGGAGAATGATCTTGTTATCCGTTTCGTCCATCGACTTTCGATGCGGCTTGGGGGTGAGATGATAGCACGACCCCAGCGAGTCGATCTCGGACCCGATGCCGTTGTACGGCGGTGGCACGAACGGTTTTGGCTTCTCCGTCGTGTCATGGACGACGAGCGGCTTGCCGACGTCGATGCCGTGGTCGGCATACCATTGCCGCGTGCTGTCGTCCGCGTCCAAGAGCAGAATGTTGCGGTTGTAAATGTTCACCGTGACGCCCACGGCCAAGTGTTCCCAGCTAAAGTAGTCATCGTCGGGGGGCGGGTCGACGTTTGTAAGGGCCGTCGCGTACGGGCCCTCAAACTTGGGCTGTTTCAAGAGGCGGACGCGATTGAGCAGCTTCGGAAACGGATCGCACCCGCTGTTGCGCTCATACGACTCGCGGATTTCGACCGTGTTGTCTGCGAGGAAAAAGTGCACAGTGTACTGATGTTTGGTGCCGTACAGCTTGGACGTGTCGTCCCACAAGGCAAACCAACGCAGGACGTGGCGATCGTGCTCGATGAACCGACGGCGGTGGTCCGACGGCCGCGCAAACTTGCCCAACGACGCCTCCATAAACTCCTTCATCGGGTACTGCTTCTTCCCGTAGTTGGCATCGATGTCTTGACCTGTTTCGCGGGACATGTGGGCATGGCGCATTGCTACATGCAGATGCCGTGTTTAGTTGGTGCAGACGACGCCACGCCCTCCCCCAGCAGCGGCGCGATGGCACAGGGGGAAGATGGGAATAGCGATGCATGCCCTCGACGGGGGAAAAGAACTCGCGCTTACTCGTGTAGGCATCACGCGGCGTTGGCTGGTCGTCCGGAACGGGAATTCCTTGGCCGTGGAGGAATTTGCGCGTGAACGAGTCCGCCGACTGAATGTGGAACGTGCGGCCGTAAAACGTGACTTGGTTCCCGATGTTGATGTCGGCATATGTGTAGTACGCCATGTCGTCGCCGCCACTTTCCGGCTTGGGAATGCGGTGGCGCTTGACAAAGTTGCCTTGCAAGATCCCGCTGTTCTCGACCTACAGGCGAAACACATGACAAGGGCTACTCGAGCTTGTCGTGGGCATGGCGAGGACGGCAGCCCTACCTTGGGTTCGATGATCTGAATCGTGCTGTCCTCGAGGTAGTACAGCACCACGCACTTGCGCACGCGAAAGTTCTCGACGTTGCTTTCGTGCACAGCTTCGAGAAAGTAGCCGTCGAACCGGAGCACCTTTTTGTCCATCGAGATGAAGTTGGGAACTTTCGACTTGGTCGGGTCAAATGGCACGAGCGGCGACGTGTCGGCGGTGGCAACGTCGAGCTGCCGCGTGTACACGTGAGCAGGGACATGGCCCCCCAACACATGTCCTCGAGGCTTGGGCGTGACGTCGCCGTGCCGACGGAACATCATCGGGACATTTTGCTGCTTCTGCAAGTACTCGCTGGGCATGGTCGTCGGGTCTTCTCCGAAGCGAGCGCGGCACTGGAGGTATTTTCGGCCACGACACTCTATTGTTAGACGAGCGAAACCAAAACCGGTTGAGCAACTGATCGAGGTCGACCAACGGAATGCGCTGTACCCCGATGCTGGGATCGAAAATCGACGTCGCGGGTGCGACGAGGGAGTTGTTTCGCTTGCTTGTGGCACGTCGTTGATCTGGACTGGCGTAGTGCATTCAAGGTAGCCAATCTCGTCCAATGCACGGGGTTGCCCCCCGTCGGGAGGAGTCGAGTCCCCTCGCTTCATGATGGTGAAGGAACGAGTGTGCCGTTGTGGCAGTAGACGTCTCGTAGTTGGAGCGTATCCGAATCGATCGATCCATTCAAGGCGACGAAGTGGTGGCAGAAATGCGGTGAATTCAATGGAGACGGTGCCCCCCTGCTCGGCGAGCAACTTTGATCCAAAGCGAGCGCGTCGAGCTGGGGCGAAGCGATGGAGTTGGTGACTGCAAAGCACTTTTTCTTTCGTTACGACTGGTAACCCCATGCGACGCCGACCATAGCTAATTCAAAATTCTGCGCCTTGGTTATTCCTACGGATGTCTGTCGTGACCTAGCCGCGGGATTTGGGTTTCCCAATGTTCTGGACTGCTCGGACGCAATTGCTGATGCAATCGGCAGCCTTCTTGGGCACACTCTTCATGGCGTCGATGACCACTCGTTGTTTGGTGGTGGTTGGGGCAGCAATCGTGGATGGTACAGGCCCTGGCTTCAGTCGCCCGTCCTTCATGGCGGCTCGGGCCTTGTCCCAATTCTTTTCCGAATTTTTCTTGAGACCCATGACATGTGCGTGTTTGGCGAGGCCGACTGCGCCCATACCTGCGGCTGCGAATCCTTCCGCCGCCCCCGAGATGGCCTTGCCCGCTTTCTTCAACGAGTCCGTGCTTGGACCATTGATGGCTGCGCCAATGGCGCCATCGGCAATCACGATGGCCCCGTCGATCGCGCTGTTGACAACGTCCATTCCTTTGGCCATGTTCTTGGTCAACCTGACCATGTTGGCCCGGTCGTTGATCTTTTGGGCATCGGGGGACGCTTTCTTGTCGTGTCCAGTTTGGGTTTTCGCATGCGCTGCAACTGCGGCGTCTCGATGTTTCTTGAGTTTGAGCTCCCCCATCTCGGCCGCTCGCACGGCGATGGCAGGTCCGTTGGCGAACGCCATGCCTTCGACAATTCCGATGGGTGGAACGACCTTATCTCTGATCGCTCGTTTTTTGTCGCCGGCAGCCAAGTGCTTTGCATTGGCGTCCATGTCGCCTGCACGAAACGCATTGTGGGCCTTTTCGTCGTCGCGTTTGATGGCTTCGTTGAAACCTCGGTTGACGACTGCGGCGAAGATTTCCTTGCGAGCTGCTTTGTTCGCGGACATCACTCGATGGTGGCGAAAGCGTGGAGCTTTGTGGTGTCGGCTCGCGTGGGCAGTACACGTCGTCGCCAGTACGACGAGCATGCATGGAAGAAGCCACCACCCGAAGCGCATCGTTGGATCGGTGGCTGCGATCGACAATATTTTCAAATGAACCCAAGCGAAGTCGAGATGATTCACGCACATTGCGACCACAACTGGATCGCCGATGCGAGCACCACCCCGCAACGTATGTGTGTGACGACGCGTCACATCGGCATGTGCGATGAAACCAATGCGCGTGTGGTTGCGCCACGGAAATGATACTTCGACGACCACTGACACCCTCGTCACCAAAGTTTGATTCGGTCTCGTCAGTCGAGAAAGCAGCATGCTGTCCGTGTTGACAGCACCCAACTGGTAGGAAAAAACGGTGTACAAGTCAAAGCGTCACTCGAAGCACGTGATATGTCGCTCTCTGTGCGATGGCCATGCGCGCCACATCGACGACATGAAGGCTCGTGCGGCGATGGAACCGAACGAGGTTGTGCCCTGGCACCTCCGCCTTGGTGGGCGTGATGTTGTGTTGGTGGACTATATTTACACCGTTGCCTATCTCTGGAGAAAGTCCATCCAAGTGCGGTGTCGCTACCATATTAGGTACCTCGGAGTAGTACCGAATCGGTACTTTCTGCGACAGGTCAGGGTAGAGACGGCCAGGAAATTCACGCGAAATCGTTTATACGAGGCCATGCCGTTCGAATCGAGCGATGGATGGAGTCAGTAGTTCAATGCCACAGCCTGGCGCGATGGCGACACAACAGCACCATGCTAAGTGACCGTCATCGGGTTCATGACGCGCAGTCGCTCGGCGATGTAGAGCGGCCCACTGAACAACCTGTTGTGTGGCGACGGGACGAACGAGTCAAGTGTGGCGGCGCCTCCAGGACATGGGGCAGTTTACGCCCAAGTTAAGTCTTCGCAACATCATTGAAACACTCCTTTCTTTCAAAGTGTTTTGCTTTGATACAGCCATAGGGCCGTCCACTCCATTTCGAGATGGAGACTACGATTTGTTTTGGCATGGCAATGTACCGCCATCAGCATATTGTTTTGACAAGTCATCGCATGACTGCCACCGCGCCTGGTGTGCGAAGCACCTACGACAACATGAGTGTTTCCATTCACGGCGCAGTGCTACAACCCGACCTTGCGTTCCGAGTCGAGGGGTCGCTTGACGAGCTGAGCGTAGATTTCGTGCGCCGTGGGTCCTGCGGCCGACTTGGTCTCTGCTTTATCCGACGGTGTCTCGACTTGGGTCGGTCGTTTCGCCTTCTCAAACGTTTCGATCGTCGACTTGGACGTCCACAGGACCTGACCCGACGCCGAGTACGTTCGTCCGAGTCCTGCAAAGTCCTTGTCTTGGTCGATCGCGTCGAAGAAGCGCTCCAACTCTCGAAGCGCTGCCCCTCGAATGCGATGCACAGGTGCCCCCATGTCGTGCGCCTCGACGGCGTCTTGCAACACCCCAAAGTCAAATACACTCGACGTCTTTTTGGCGTGCTCGATCTTGTCCTGGACCCCCTGCAGGACCTCCTTGTCTAGCGATGGCACACCGAGCGCCTTGGCCATCGACGCCACCGTGTTGACTCCCTTGAGCAGCTTGAACCCAGTTTGGATGTATGGCATTGCGGTCGCCATGAATGCCACGTACTCGTCCGATTTGGTCTCGATCTTGATCGGGTACAGAGGTTTCGACTTGTCTGGCAAAAGCGGCGGCACCACCGGTGCCCCAAGCACCTCGTCGATCAGGTACAAATACAGCGGCTCGCCAGGCAACACAAGCTTCACAACACTCCCGATGCCTTTACTCGACTTGACGGCGTTCATGAACCGAGCTCCCATTTCCATCCCCTGCCGAATGAAGTTGGCTGCTTCGTCCAGCACCCCTTCTGCGTCGTCGGCCATTTTCTCCAAGATGTTGAACGGGAGTAGCACGAACGACGTCGGCACGCGGACTTCAGTCGCTTGAAAAATGCCGCGCATGAGATCTTCCTTGGCCTTGCCCACCTGCTTGAGCATCACATGGGAGAGCTCGACCACTTGGTCGAACCGGTCGTTCATGGTCTGGAATCCGCTGGTCACTTGGTCGTTGAGTTTCTCCAGCTTTGCTTCGATTATCTGCAGCGCCGTCGAGCTGTCGAGTTTGACGTCGAAGTACCCATGGCCGAGCATCTCCTTGACGCTGATGCGGTGAAGGGGATCGACAGCCAACAGCTTCACGATGAGGTCTCGTGCGAGCGGGTTAGCCACCTTGTTTTGAATGCGAAGAGCCAACTCGTCCTCGGTCCACGTCGCGGCGCGCTCGATGCTCGAATCATCCACGTCTTGGTTTCGATCCGTCGGCACCAACTCGACGCCGCTGTACATCTGGTACATGAGGACACCAAACGCCCACACGTCAACGGCGGGGGTGGCCTTCTCCAGCGTGTACGGCAGCGGCGCCGCGTTGGGGTCCCCATGGAATGCCTTCACGACCCAACCATGACGGGGCTGCACTTTGGCCCACAGCTCCGGGTTCTCCTGGATATGTGGCGCCCAGTACGACGTGTACTGGGCCACCTCGCCGTCGTTCTTGAGCTTGTAAAACATTTCTACCGATCGAACGATGCAGGGGAATGGAACGATTGGATCGACAACTACCTGGCGGCAACGACCCCGAACTAAACTTGGCGCCGACGGGGTGGTGCATCGGTGTTGCAGCGTCCATGTCGATGAGGCGCATGTGGTGGTCCACTCGTATCACGTTGAGTTTCTTCACGTCGCCGTGCACGACGCCGTTCGCGTGGAGCTGCAGCAGCATCTCAGCCACTTCCTGCAACATGCTTCGGATGTGGTTGTCGTTTGGGCGTTCCTTCAAGTAAATATCCTCCAAGCTTCGATCCGCGGCGGGCATGACCAACATGCACGGGTACGCAGTCATGTCGAGGTCATGGTGGAGCGTCAGATGGGCCACTTGCTCTTTAACGACCAACGGATCGGCCATGGGCAACAGCCCCAAGACACAGTCTGCGTTGTTCAATCCCTGGCGCATGTTGATCTCTCTTGCGTGTTCGTCCGCATTCCGCATGAACTTGACGGCGACTCTGAGCTTGCCGCCGTACGTTCGGTCGCAGAATCGAAGGAACTCAGGCTCGGACACGGTGCCGTCCTTGTTTTGGTCCCACATGTCAACCTCGCGGTGCTGAGATTCCGTCTAGAGACCATGAAAGTTACACCACAAACGCTTGTGGGCATGGCACGGTACCGATTTTGACGCCACGGCGGGCTGGCCTAGTGTTTGGAGGCATGCTTGAAATGCTGCCTTGGTCAAGTGCCCCGATGCCGCATGCATGCCAAACACTTGTTTGAAAATGCCATAGTCATACGCGTTAACGACGACGGCGGTGGCGCTGATGTGGATCGGTGGCCCGTCGAACAGCTCGTACCGACTGCAAAAGTACAATTGCTCGTTGAGAAAGGCCCTCGTTGTCGCATCCGTAATCTGAAGCGCCGTGCGACCATTCGCATCGGTGGCGCACGCAAGCTCCCGAACAAAACTCGCGCGGTGGCGCGCATAGAGAGGGTGGTTGACGACGGCTTGTACCGTTTGGCGTCGTAATTCCGACGACACAGCCAAGGACAAGTCCATGAAGGTTGTCCAGGAATAGTGATGCTTGGCGACTGGGACGACTGCTCCGGTGGCCGGGTCCAGCGAAAACGGAAGATCCTGCAGCAGGAGTCTGAGGCCGGACGCCGGCGTCAAATCGTTCACAAGTTTGTGCAGCAGCAACTTGGACTAGGCGCGGCCATGAATGGACCGTCGCATGAGGTAGGGTACCTTGTACAAGACTTCAAACGGCACGCCGTGCGCAATGAGACCTGCCACAAACGGCCATCGCTCCATCTCCAACGCAACTTGCATCACGGTTTGGTTTTTCTAGCCAGAGTCTGGCGAATGCACATTCGATGGCAGCCATGTAAGTACCGCATTTTTCACCGAGAGGTCCATGCCAGGGTGGCCGAGCAACAGGGTTAACGAAGTTGTCGACAAATGCGCGGCCATGAACAAAGCTGCGTCTTGTTTCTACACAAATTTGTTGGCCATGAACCACGGAGATCGACATGGATGGCCAATATCGTTCGACAGCACTTTGTTGCGATGATTTAGTTGCACGTGGGGGTGCTGGAGCAACAACTTGATGCAGCTATCGTGTCGATGCTGGATGGCCACGATGAGCGGTGTGTTGCCGGCCTGCGCAACCCGTCGGACCACTGACAACAGTCCATCATGTACCTTGCACGTCATGTTAACATCGATGTCGTCTCGCTTGAAGAGAGCTGATACGACGCGCTCCTTGCCCGCCTCGCACGCGTGGTGCAATGGTGTGTATTCGTTCTGGCACCTCTCCATTTGAATTCCAACCGTACGTGCAACTCACTCGTACGTTGTCCTGGAGGTTGACGGGATGCAGCGCTGGATTTTCCAGCAACAGCGCGACAACGACGTCGTAGCCGCTCCTGGCGGCAACATGAAGGGCCGTTTGCCCCGACTACATGGACAAAAAAAAACATCGATGAAACCCGTCCATGACAATGCAGCCGCCCAACTCTAGACGTACTTTGTTTCGATGATTCAACGCGACGTTGGGCTCGGCTAGCAACCGTTTGACGATGTCGATGTTGCCGCCAAGCGCCGCTCCGTGGAGCACAGTGTTCCCGTCCTGCAACACATCGTCGTCTAGCCATGCAAGTGGCACACGGAACAAACCAGAGTCGTCTCGTCGACTGGAAATCGTCCGTCCTGCAAGAGCAACTGGACAATCTCGACCGTGCGCTCTCTCGCAGCCGCATACAGCACGCCCGTCGCCTACACGTTTTTGTTTGAACGTACCGAGTGCCTGTGGCCCCATTACCCCAACGCAAATGTCCAAGTCTGGCCGGGCAAGAAACAACTTGACGCATTGCACCCGTTTCCGCTCCACGGCATGGTAGAATGGCGTCGAGTCAACCTTTGATATACCGACGAGTGAGACAAGCACGAAGGCAAGTCGGGATCACGACGGACGTCTGCGACGGTGTGGACGCTTGACGCAATGCTGGGGTGGCGCAGCAACGCGTCGACTTCGCGACACATGTCGTTCGATACCGCTTCATGCAGGGCAGTGCGGCCCCTCTACCGCAAATCGTGAGCACGCCGTTGAAAACCATCGCGGCATACATGTCCCCGAACGTTGACATCTATCGTGGGCACGGCCAGCAACTGATGGACGACTGGGCCGCGACCATGGACGCATGCTTGTATCAGCGCCGCCGGGTGGCCCTGTGCAAAACACATGAGCTCATGATGACAGCGAACGACACTCGCCTTGTTGATATCGTCGACAACTGCCGCGACTCGCAGCATCCGCGCGACCACTTCACCGTGTCCAAGATGGACAGCTAGCATGAACGGAGTCATCCCGTTCTAAGCAAAGCCCCCCCTTCGTCACACAACGCAATCGAGCGACGAGCACCGACCACGTCTTCGAGCTTCAAGTTTAGCGCTGGGTGGGCGAGAATTGCGTCGACCGCCGCCACCTTGTTGGTCTGGACTGCATGATGCAATGGCGTGTACTTGAACTGCGCGCACGAAATTACTTGTGCCGCTGAGACGCCGATGGTTGTGCACAACATGACCGCACCTTGTTTGCCTGGTGGCACACGTCGGCTTCTGGCCGTTGGGCAAGCATCACGACGGCGTCCACGTGGCCTGCTTTGGCTGCGACGTGCAGCGGCGAGAACCCAGTCTAGCACGATTGTGATGACCGATACAAGAAATCGAGTGGCAGCGTCCACGCACGAGGGTGTCAGCCTCGTTGATGAGGACTTCTTGCCGATGCAGCAAGCTCTCGACAATCGCAGCACCATGGACGCTCTCGGCTGCAACGGACAGCGCGGTGCGGCCATTCTTCGGACGGTAAAGCATCATGGACGTCGGTGGGAATGAACCAACATACTTGGTTGCGCATGTTCACTTGCAGGTCCAGTCGAGTGAGCAACACCTTGGCGCCATCCACCCACACTTGGTCGGCCGCAATCGTCAATGCATACCTGGATCCCTGCGTCGAGTGGCTGCCTTGAGTGCGAACGTGCCTGCGACATCGTCGTGTACCTCATGCGGGGCGTTGACGTCAAGGGCTTCGATGGCAACTAACATGGTCACAATGTGTACATGTTGGCGCAAACACGCGGCGATGAGTGGCCGGAGGCCGTCCTAGATGCGTTGGCGCTTGAGTTGCCGATGAGATCGCGACTTGGAACTGTACCGCGCTCGCAGCGTTGACTAGAGAGGCGTCGACACCCACCAAATACGCTGCAATGTCTCCATGGCCCAGCCAACATGCCAACGCGAGCGGCGTAACGCTGGCCAAGAATGGCTTTCCCTTGCCCTGCGTCGACGACAAATTGAATCGAGACAAACTGCGACCGACCTACTTGGAGCTGCATTTTCTGCGACGAGTGGAGGTCCACCGACTGCGCACAACCCTCGACTTGGCGCAAGTCGCCGCGCTCGACTGCTTCGAAGATCATCGTCCGCCGTGTGCACGTGCTTCCAATCTAGCCCGACGTTTCATGCCTGCAGTTCCAAGTCGAGCGAAACTGTCGACACGATGAAGCGGTGGCCTACCGACCTCCTCCTGCGAGATGCAGCCGAGCGAGGGAGTCGATCCTATCCATTCTACATTCTGAGGCCATCCCTGGGAGGTCCTTCCTGGGCCGGGTATCAAGCCGTGGTCGAATAAAAGGTCGACCGTGGTCTGGTAGAAGCTGCCATGTGGTCATGACGGAGTAGAGGAGGGCAGAGCTCCCGTCGGTCTTAAAACCAAGAGCATGACATCGTTCTTTCGTCCGACAAGGCGTTCGGACCTTTCTGAAATGGCCCGCTGGACCTTCGTGTTTCTAGATAAGGTGCAGAGACTTATGCGCACGTCTCGATGGACCAAACGGACGTGCGCGACACTGCCCATTCTCTCACAGCATGCGAGTGCAGCATGACCGGTGCAAAGATTGAGTGGAGACCTGGGACGAAGACGGAGATGATGTAGGAAGAGGAGAAAGAGAGGAACAGGATGCCATGGCACACCATCGCACGGGTGAGAATGCATGCTATGGGAAAGTAAGTTATTGGCACGTCTAGTTGAAATTTAATTGCCGCCCTTCGCCGCCGACTTGGCGGGAGCCAAAACGTACTGGTAGTACAACGCAGCAACAACGGCCAACACAGACACGACCATGAGGACGTTGTTGCCGCCACCGCTGCTCGGCGACGCCTTCTCCGCCTTCTTCTTCGCGGCCTTCTTCTTCTTCTCTTCGCTTTCCTTCAACGTACCAATCAAGTACTTCTCCAACACCTTGCGCGCGTCCAACGAATGCCCGATGTCTTCGAACTCTTCATTGGCATCCTTGCCAGCCACGTCAAGCACGATCTCAGGACCGCCGGGGTGGTCGTCCAGGTACTTGGTGATATCGTACACCTTCTTGGAGCCATCCTCGCCAAGGATGATCCAGCAGTCGTCTGCCGTCTTGTGGGCCGCGACGTCGGCTTCCGTGTACACCTTGAGCTCGCTCGCCATCGTTTGAGATTATGCCGTGAACGGAGCAGTCATTCGAGCCGCAGAGGCGACGTCATCACTATGGCAGACGACGTTACTCATCATATCATGGTACAAAATTATATAAATTGTTTTATGATTCGTATAGAAAATCAGTCGAATGCATGAACAAAATAACATATGCTGTGGTTGTGATCGGGAAAGTTGACGGTTTTTCGTCGTGGACCCCATCTTTGGTACAAATTTACACTTCAAATTCGTATGCAAGTGTAACAGGGTTGAGAGTTCGAAATGCACCAATCAGCAAGCATTTCCGGATAATGATCCGGAAGGTCACCAAGGAGCTTCGATGGATGGGGCCAACCCTCCCAGCCAGCAGCTTGGGTGCGATGGACGTCGTCGGCATGGCATGGTGGACGGCCGCTCGGTGGAGAAGGCGACTATGAGGACATTGCAGGTTGAACTTGTAGTGCGTATGGGTGTCTATAGGAAGTATCGCCGTGTGAGTGCCGAAGGAGAGGGTATGATGGACACAAGTGCAAAAAAGCCACTTTGTTCCACGCATCCTTGGGCGCATTTGAAGGCAGCATGGCCATCCATTTGCCGCGAGATACCGTCGTCGCAACCACAGTGTGCGTCTGAATGCTAAACATTCAACCGCTATCGGATGCTGTGCTTGGGATGAGGACACAATTGGTGCGATGTCCAGACACCGTTCGAGGTCGCCGGCCTAGAACTTCGTTGCCATGTGCCATTGACACGGATCGCTGAAGCAGCAGTGGAATACATCCATAGCACTTGGAAAGATGTCAATGCTGTACTAGTGCTCCTAAAGAAATAGCATCAGCTCTGTGGTGTGGTTAGATGCGCGTCCAGCCTGCCTTCCAGTTGGCGGTACGACGATGCGCTGGGTCGGGGAGACTCTCATCGGCATCGTCCTCGAACAAGATGCTACCTTGATTCGTTGTGGACGCCAGCCATGGCGTTGGGAATGGGAGGATGGTTGCTCTTTTCGCCACTGAAATGAATCCCTCCCAGCGGCGTTCAAGGGCACAAACCTGTTAAACGTCCATGGGGAAATCTTTCTGGATTGTCATCGCAACTTGACCACCGACGCGACCTCCAGGGACGTGCGAAGCTCGGCGTGTCCACATAGCCGTGCAGTGTGACGTGGAGCCAACTTTATATCGACGCGGCTGTTGGTGCATAAATTGCACTCCTTCGAGGTGCACGACCAACAGAGGTCCTACATGATATCATGTCAATGAGTATCTACCAAAGCGATACTCGTACGCACGTACGACGACAAATTGATTCCAGGATATCATGGACGTTGTTGCGTGAAAGATGGGCCGATGAAAAGGTGTGTCAAGCTTTCCGTCTCGGAGGCGACCACTACAACGCAGCCACACACACTTGCTGGCATCATTGATTGATTTCCCTCGGCATCGTCGCATCAAAGCCCACGTGAGCATGGTTGCCTCCGCTGTTAAAGTCTTTACTCTGGACGAAATTGCCACGCACAACACGGAAAAGGACTGCTGGATCGTGATCGGTCGGGCCGGGTCCAAGAAAGTGTACGACTTCACTTCGTTCATCAACAGCCACCCCGGTGGCCCCGAGTTGGTGCTGGACAATGCTGGCACAGACGTGAACGACCTGTTCGAAGATATTGGGCACACTTCGGACGCCCTCGCCATCATGGACAAGCTGTGCATTGGGACGTTGAAGGAGGAAGTTGCTGCACCCGCCAAGCCCAAACCCACCAAAGCTCCCGCACCATCCGCCCCGAGCGACAACTTTTTCATCTACGTGTGTGTGTTTGTCGTTGCCGCGGCTGCGTACCTCCAGTGCTAACGCCATCATGTTTCATCGGTCTCCGAATATATATATATAACTATCCAAATCCATTCGTCCACCAGTGCCTGCGACGAAATACCTCTGGCATGGAGGCTGCATCTCGAGCAAGTTTGTTGCGCAGTCCGCGGAGCACGGAAAGCACATCCACGTAAACAAAACATGACCGACATCGGAGGGCCATCTCGTACTTGGATAAAGCATACTGGCACTTTCACATGTTTCAAATGTCATCGCTCAGATGGCTAAAAATACACCACCATATTGTGGGTGGACACGTACTTTCAAGGCGCATCATGACTACATGGCGCGTGGCAGATGATGACCCAACGGCGGCGGTTGTACAGCTCGCGATTCAACGGATGGGATCGGCCACTTCGACAGGGATTTCGACATCGCAAATTGATCACGTTGTCAGCTACATGACAGGGTAGGGATGGGCTGTCGCTCACCCTAGTATATCGCTCGAAGTTGCATCTCATCCTCGTCATACGTCGTTGAGTGTAGACAGCACTGGCTCGCCACTGCTGCCGACTTGCGAGTCGCATTGAATAACCCAACTCAATGGACCGCGTAAGTACTCGACCCTCCACGCATGCACGTTTGAGTACCTTGTCAAGTTGAGGTCATGTGACTAAACTCTGACGGATATCGAGCTAGATTGGAGGTGCCAGTGCGTCTGAAGCTAGCGCTGGAAGAAGTTTTACAGGAATGGGACACCATACAAGAAGTCTACCCTAGTGCCAAGTGGGAACAAGCCGCCGTCTACACTGGCGAGGTACAATCTGTTCCGAACGGAGTGTGGAGATGCCATCCGAAATGCCTCCTGCACCACTTTCTTGCCTTGAACGATTTCAAACAGTTCGCTTTTGCGCCATGAGGCACCTGGATGGACAATACTTCTCCCCTTCGAGTAACGTCACAGGGACGAAATGCGACGATAGAGCGCCGGTGAGGCAGTTCCGAACGAGATTTCAGGCATGGACAAGGATGGGGACGCCAGTGTCGAATCGACGGACGGGAGCTGGCGCTGCCTTCGATGCACGTACCAAAATCAATACCAGGACTCGTTTTGCGTCGTGTGCTATGAACACTACTCCGTGTCTGTCGTCCTGGAAGCGCCAGTGACCCCAACGGCCCCCGACTTTGATGCAATCGTCTGCGCGATGCCTATCGCCGAGGAAATTCCACCAGTGCCGCCAATGCACTCTCTTGGAGACGTGTCACCAACGCCCCCTCCACCAATCCCACTCGTCCTTACCGCAACAACAGTATGGACTCAACCGACAACAACCATCCGTTCATGCATATGCCGTTAGGCTTCAACTCCGGTGGCCCCTTCTTCGGCCTTGGACGACTCGTTGTCCGAACATTTCAAGGCTCTGGCATTCAATAAACCGCCTTCTCCCAAATCGAAACCTTCCCCCCAAATGGACGAGGCGGGCGGCGTGCACTCGCAGCGACGAGCCGAACCTGTTTAATTCCAAACACGCCATCATCCCTATTGCAACCACGTAGCACGCTATTCTGTGCAGCAGAATAAGGTAGACAAGTCGTAACCAATATGCAAAGATGGGACGACTGATGTCCGGCAAGCCAGGTAGAATGATTGTAGTCAAGGGCGATAGGGTAGCTCGCATGCCATGAGGCATTCGAGCAACCAAATGGTCGAATATCTTGACGCCGCACCAAATGAAATTCAACTTGGCAGGCATTCCCAAAGCGTGTTCAAAGCCCAACGCAGCCTAGAACGCTTTGGAATCTTCATCCAAGAACGGAATGTTGAGTTGGTCGAGAAATGGCGTGAGCAGCGGCGCGAGCGTTGTTTTTTCGGCGGGCGGGAGCTTGTTTCGAATGTGTTCCAAGTACTCGAATTTTTCGCCCATCTTGACTTTGATCCGCTCGAGTTTACTCCGTGCTTCAGCTGTCCCATCCAGTGTTGCCTTGGCTTTGAAGCTCAAGTAATGGCGCAACAATTCGCTCACGTCGTGAAAGTGGTTGGTCAGTTGGGTCTTGAAATTGCTACAAGGGCAGAACGACACAAGATGAAGTGTCCCAACTCAACCGAACACTACCTCGAGATAAACCGTGTGTCGGTGTGCTTATTCGCTTGGTCCAGCGCATTCGTTTCGTCGCTTTCGTTGAGCACTTCCTTCAATATGCCGCGTGCGTTTGCTGCGCTCGAGTCGCGTGCCGTTAGCAATATTAAACCGATGCAACTGAACAAAACGAGTTCTCCATGTCAAAACCATCGGTTCTGCCGTTCGCCATGCACCGAAAACTATTGTGTTTCGAGGCAAACACTGTCCAAAGCTGTCGACAACGAAGTTGTTGACGTCCATCCATACGCATCCTGGCCAAGCACACGACGCCAGAAATCGCAACTGATTCATGCAATCATCCCTCGTCGACCGAGTAAACGCATGCCATGTCAGCGTCGACGAGTTCACCAGCTCAGTCACGATCACAAACGTCACAGCAACCGCGGCAAAACGTCCAAGCGTGAAACAACACGGCAATTGTCCAGACGACTTTGCACAAGCGCATCCACATGTTTGGCGCATCGATACCTGGAAACGCCGCGGACAGGTCCAACGAACTCAGCATCATGCGAGACATGGCGACTTGAGATGCATGCCACTTGGTCGACTGCCCCGCCCCGCCGCCACTTTCCGACTTGGTCGCCTGCAACTATCCCATGATTTCGGGTTTTAATCAAAGCACGAGCCCGACAAAATGTGAAAAATTCCACGACGGCATGCAACTCCCCACTACTCCAACCACTGCACGCAACAGCGCTACGTACGTTTGGCCTGATGGAGTGGCTATCGTGCTCAAAGTACCGCGATGCATTTTCCAAGCTCAACGGCAGGACGGGAGTTGGAACAGTCGGTGCCAAGTCGTCCAATTCAACGGCGAGCGTGACCGAGTCCTGCGCGGCCGACGCGGCCGTGACCTTGACCTGCAGGACATCGGCGGCATGACGATTGAATTTGGCCAAATTTGTGTCGGTTGTCGCGCGAGCCGCCGTCGGGTCTGGCGCGTCGTCCGTGTACGATGCTGCCAAGTTGATCAACGGGTCGACGTTGGAAACGTCGCGTGGCCCGCTTTGCTTCAGCTTGGCCTCGTACTTTTCCTCGTATCGGGTAAAGAGGTCTTCGGGCTGACCCAGGGCATGAGCACCACCGTTAGCCAAGCTGTTTTTGTCGCGATGGGCGTATTTGGACTTGACAAAAAGGCCCCAGAACTCGAGTCCAGTCATTTTGTCGGGCACTTGCTCCTGGTACGCCAAATACACGACGGGATATTGCACGAAGATCTGGTGGATGATCTCCGGGTTCAAGTTGTACTTGACGGACTTGCCGCCGCTCTGGTTTTCGCCCTGCACATCCGACAAAATCTCGGACGTTTTGCCCGTCCTTTGGCGCTTCGACTGTTCGGTCAACAGGAGTTGTTTGCGGCAAGGCAGGTTCCAGAAATCGTTTTCCGAAATTAGACCGCCTACAAAGTGTTTGTACGAAGATGCGATGGGACGTAGTCCTTGGGGGATACGCTTGCTACCTGTAACCATGTCGGTGTACTGACGCTTTAGTGTGTTGGGATGCTTTTGCAGCAGCTGCTGGCGCAGCTTTAGCTCGGCTTCTGACACGCCTGGTCGCAAGTATAAAATATATAAGAGAGAGAGAACGCAAAACGACGGGGTCGTGCCTTCACCACGCGACGTTGATTGCTGGGAGGGTGGAGTCCATGACGAAATGCAATGGCTGAGTTGCAACTTCGTCCGTTGGAGGTCGTCGTTGTTGGCAAACTCCAGGATGAATGTCGAAATAGGTGGCTGTGATCGCACACGGAACCGCATCAAAAACCGCGCTGCCTTGGTCGCGGACGCCCCCGCGGCGTTCACTTGGAGGTCCTGAATGTCCTTGAATGCGATCGACAGTTTCCGTGTCGCTGTCTTCATCCACAGCGCTTCCCGCAGCAAGATCACAGCTGGAACTTCTTCCTTCTTGCCGCCTTCTTTCTTTTCTGTGCACTTGACGTGCACCGCGCCTGGTGGCAACCCTTCCGTCTCCTTCGCCATGTTGGACGATTCCGAGATGAGGCGAATATTGGACAAATATTGGACCGAAACAAGCCAATTTTCAGATTTTTTTGGCATGTTTTGAGGCAACAAACAGCACACTAATTCCGGCCGAGGGGTGACATCCGTAGGTGTACTAGCTAATCCTGCGAGGTCTAGTAGTACTAGTTAGTTGAAAGGACGCTAGTAACTAGTCCGAACAGCAGCGCTGGTCATCGAGTCAAACATTTGGCCACACGATGCCCACAGAGCTCGGCAGAGCAGCACACAAACTCTGCTTGGGGAGTTCACCTCGGCCACACTTTCTCTGGTCGACCAGCGGCTTGAAAATGCTCCATTGCCAGTGTGGTGTTTGCAGTACAAACGTCCAGCTCGGCGTGTGATCGACATGGCACGCGAAAAGGCGCGCCACCATCATAACAAGAATTGCGGAGCTTTCGCGTGCGGGAGAGGATGCGGCGGGCGAAGTAAAAGTTGCAGACATGTTGGCCTTTACGCGTTACGCGGAGAGGGGAGGGCATGTTATCGATTTCTGATTGCTATGCATGCTCCACACTCGTCGTCCTCATGGTGGGTGGGGACGGGCGACCCCGCGTGTGGCTCCAGCCGTCCCCACATGAGGAGGTGGAGATAGGGGCGTATTGCAATAGCGACTAGTGCGAATGTACGATGTTGAATTCGTGCATGGAGGATGCGCCGAGTTCGAGCGACTGAAATCCTGGTGCTAGCAACAGTCTACACGTCATTCGCGCGGCCATTCTGGGATGCAAAGTGGCGTTCATCCATCCTCCTTCCAAATGAATTTTTCTGCATCCTATCCTTGCAGCACATACTTCTTCTGGCGCATCAACGTGGGCGCCGTTCTCCACCAGCATCTTGGCAACATCCACGCGACCTTTCTCGGAGGCCTTGTGGAGTGGAGTCCATCCACTCAATTTTCCAAATGAATGGGGATGTACCATGGCAAACACCGTGCAATGAATACGACTATTTGGAGAGTTATTCATGGAAAGGACTCGCCATCCAACTCCGCTGCAGCTACACAGCCCAGAAAGACCAAGCGACGGCAACCAAACCCACAGATATCGCAATTTCGCCAGCCATTCGAGCCCCGCTTCGCACGGACGTTGTTTCGGGCGT